TTTTAATACCTATTTACGTTATGTTCAAAGTAAAACCAAACCATTCAGGAAATAATCGCAATAAACACAAGGCCTTGATAACATAATTACCCATTCGGCTTGTCAGTCTGGAGGGAAAATACAATGAGATTAACTCGATTGAAGGAAATTCGACAGAACTATAAAATTTAATTAAATTCCAGGCATTAACTTATACTAAAATTGCAATAATTACCAACGTGAACGGGCCTAACAATCATAAACACATAGAACTAATTCAGGAAGATCGGCAAGACACCACTCCATTACGTCGAGAACCCAACAACGCCCGGGAATGCTGCCAATGCCAAATAGTAAGGTTATGTGTTTTGTAGGATAACAAACAAGGTTAGTGCAAAAAATTAGAAACACAAGTGTAACTTACCTAAGGGTGGTCAATTATTTTACTAATGTGAAATTCGATTAAGGGTTTAACACACCTATAACACTCTTAATTTAGAATAGACAATAGACGCCTCACTAAACGAAAATGGACAATAAATTTAAAAGATGGCTTCCAAACTTGCTGAGAAAAACAACGAGAGTTCACCGGAAGTAAAAACATCAGAAATTTTGCTCTGAGAAAATAAAGCCAACGGCTTAAAACGTACTATATAAAAAACAAACACTAATTTCGTGCTTCTTTACGTCTAAAACGCACTATAAACAATCAATCATGTTTGGAAAAAAGGAACCGAACACAATCTGAAGATGATATTTAAAACTTTAAATCTTTTTGACCCATGTGAACAATTTGAGATCTTCCTCTGAGCCTAACCACCTAACCCGAATGTGTTTTGATTCTGTTGTGACCGTACTATTGAAATACACGCAAATTGTAAATTATATCTCTTTATTTTAACAACATAGATGTTTGTAATGTAATGTTTTCAAAAAGTAATAATAAGAAGTGTTTACTATTTAATATTTACCAACGGCTGACTATTTAGAATAGAGTAATAGAACAAGATTATGACAGATTCAGAAGAAGCATTTGAATCAACAAGCAAATGCCAATCATTTGCAGATTATTCCTCATCTGTTTTCACTGCAAATGATGATACTGATACTACTAACGTACCAAACTTTGACAATGGATTGAATTTTTCTCTTTCAAATTGTGCTTTTATACAGAGTGTTTCCGAATTGTCTGGACATATTTTGTGAACTTGTTCCCTGGGCTAAGACAAACATAAAACACCATATATAAGTATGGGTCTAAAGTGCCTATATTTCTGTCTGTCGGTCTGTTTGTGATTTTTATAAATTATTTTATATCTTGGGCATTTTTCAAGATAGAGATTTAACATTTGGTATGAATGTGTAGTTCTGAAAGTTAAAAAGAACTGTGAAAATGTCATTCAAATATCTCAAATATTCAAATATATTGTTGTTGAGAGTGCTTAACAGCTATTTTTAATGTTCCAAAGTCAATTTTTCGTATTACATAGTATTTACTTATTGTTCAATGTATAATAGAACAGATTGTAAAGTAAATAAATAAAAAAAAAATAAAAAATAAAATATCTCAAGCCGTTTCAATATGGCGGCCATTTAAAATCTTTAATGCCAAATTTCACGAAAACCGTAAATATTAAGAACATCTTGTGCCTTCAAAAAATAGAGAATTTTGATACAAATCAAATGAGGCCTTGTTTGTTAAAATCAGATGAAAAATAATTGAGTTATCAGTTTTTTTCTACATTACTTTTTTGCCAGATAAAAAAGTTTCTTAATATTTATGGTTTTCATGAAATTTGGCATTAAAGTTTTTAAATGGCCTCCCTATTGAAACGGCTTGAGATATTGGAACAAAACTTTCACAGTTCTTTTTACTCTCAAAACTACACATTCATGCAAAATTTTAAGTCTTTATCTTGAAAAATACCCAAGATATTAAATAATTTATAAAAATCACAAACATACCGATAGGCGGAAATCTGGGCACTTTAGACCTATATGGGGTTTTATGTTTGTCTTAGCCCAGGGAACAACTCCACAAAATATGTCCAGACAATTCGGAAACACCCTGTATACCGCAAGTGATGTAGATGTAAAGAAGAAAATTGAAACCCTTATTGATGGTAGAAAAGAGTGCAGGCCCTGATGGAATGATGGAGTACCACCGATAATACTGAAGTTCTGTTCATCGGTGATCTCAACATTCTGTTTCAAGCTTTACATACGAGTGGAGTCTTCCCCCAGTGTTTCAAGCAGAGCTACTGTGTGTGATACCAATTATTTTCAAATCGGGTGAAAGGGAAAATGTAAAGAACTACGTCATATTGATTCCGATATAGTCTACGATAGCAAAAGTTGTTGAAAGTATTTATTTATTTATTAACGGACACACTATTTTTACAAGAAAACACAGAGAAGTTTGTACAGAATAAAATACACAGAAAATACAGTGTGTTTCCAACAAATGGGCCAGTACAAAAGTAGTGAAAAAAAACTGGAAACAACAAGATTATAAGAACAATACATACAAGATAACCTCAAATGATGATTTAACTATATAAATAACAAACTATCATAACAAGTTACCAATACAATAGATTCACAAAAGCTTTGTCCAAGGTCTTTTGGATTACCTTCAGTTTAATCTCAGTGTCCATATTGTACCTGAACATCGGTGTCTTTCAGGGGCGCTCTACAGCTAGGTACCTATCTTCTCCATTTACATATGAGTACTAATGACAGCATTCCTTGAGACCAGATCGGTTGACCGTGTATACCTTGATTTTGCCAAAGCTTTCGACAGAGTCGACCATCGTATCTGGTTGGCTAAACTTCATGGCGTTTGGAGTCTGCGGACCGTTATTCCAATGGTTAGCAAGCTATATCTCAAGGGAAGATATCTCATTGTCAAATATGAGAACTCCTCCTTTTTGCCTTTTCCTGAACTTTTCTGGTGTCCCCCTAGGGTCGCACTTGGGCCCGCTACTGTTTTGTATTTTTTTCAACGACATATGAAGATTAAAGACATCATCGAGACAGATTTCTTGATGTTTAATTGCTGATGACATTAAAGCAGGGCCGGCTAGAGGGTGGGGCAGGGGGGCCGGCCCGGCCAAAGGTAACATTTTTACTGTCCATAATCTGCCAAAAGTCAAAAACTTTAGGATAGGCCTAGTTTTTCAGTTCACTAAGTAATTTTTGACTTGAATTGTAACTCAAGGCCTGACTTGTTCATATTTTTTTTTACTTGAATAAAGGTGCAACTGTGAGCACATGAATTAATCAAACTATCAAGCATTTAAGAAATATATTGTTATTTGTGTAACAAAATGGCACGGAGGCGGCTGGCGACTTAGTCAGGAAAAAAGGGGGCCCGATCGCTCAGCCTAGCGGCCCTGACAGCTCTCGCCGGCCCTGAAGGTCTCATCAGGAGGACTATCAACTTCTTCACTTCAGCTTACTCTCCAAAGAATAACTAGTTGGCAAGATCAATTTCATGGAATTAAATGTTATAGTACTTAGTACTAATAAGTGCCTGGTTATGGCTTACACTGGGAGCCATGATGAGAGCTACTTTGCCTAGGTACCTACTGAATGGTGGTGTTAATCTTAAGCAAGTGCACAATGTGAAGGACCTTGGACTTTATGTCCCTTAATTTTAGCCCACGGGATCACATCAAACACTGTGTGTCAAGAGCTAGGACACTCCTGGATTTTATTCAAAGATCTACCATAGGGATAGCAGTCTACAGATCCCCAACTCAACTGATAACATGTCAAACTTCTTGCACCAACTTTACTTCGTGTCTAAACTAAGCTAAGCTAAACTAGAACATTTCTTCATGTTATTGACTTAAACATGCATATGTTGAGCTATAAAGGGGAGGCCTGCTATTATTTTAATAAGCTATGGGTTAAACATTAGGCCTACCTCAAGAGAACCTACCCTGAAACATGGCATGCCTGGACACAATTGTGACAAACCCTAATTGCCATCAGAAGACAGATGGTTTAAGAAAATGGGGCCTCATCCAGTATTAGAAGATTAACCACAGGGTTTAGTGCTTGTGCCGCTGCTCTTGATCATTACCTAAATGGCCTAATGGCTCTAGAACACTTTTTGCAGATGACACCTCTCATATCTGGAGAGGGCAATATTCCACTATTATGGACTGAAGCTCATAAGATCTCTTCACTCAGGACAAAGTGTGGTTTACTGTGATCAAACTCAGGCAAAAGACAAGAAAACCAAGTCAATTGTGTGTAGACCCTGAAGACAAGGGAGGAAAGTACCGTTAAGCTCTTAGGTTTTTGGATTGACCCGAGGTTAACCTAGAATACCACATATCTCAGGTATGCGTAAAGTTATCTAGTGTGCTATCTTCGTAGAGAGCTCAAATCTGTGTTGACTGAGTCACATTTTAAAAACATCTACCAACGCCCTTTCACAGCCACTTTATGTATGGGATTGTGGCCTGGGGACATTCTGCAAATACTCAGACCTACTAATTATTTAAAAGAGGGCAGGTAGGATTGTGTCCAATTCTGGCCATTCAGATCACTGTCGGCCTTTATTCATAGACTTGAAGATCTTCATGGTTTTCAGTCAGTATGTGTATATCATTTTAACTACGCTAAGAGTAAACGTAGATGACTTTGGAAAAAGAGGGAACCTACATGACCCATAGATCTGGTGATTTGGACATACCCCGATGTCGCCTTAGTCTGACACAACCTATCCTCAGCCCTGAAGATCTATAATGCACTACCGGATGAGGTGAAAGATCTGACCCGAAGGCTAAGATACGACTGAAGTAGTACTTAGTGAAGAGGCCGCTCTGCTTTCTTCAAGTTACTACAACATGGGACACCCCTTTTTCTGACGCAGTCCATCCAATTTCCATTGGTCAACAAAGAAGACGACGAGTATTACAAGTAGGTTAATATTCAAAAGGCAATACTTTCTCTCATGGACATAATGGGGATAAAGAATCAACATAGGCACTAATTAACTTGAAAGTTATATTTGTAACATAGGCTATCCCAGGTTAATCAATTAGTTTTATTTAGAAAAATTTGTTTGGAGCAATACAAAAAGTTTGTTTTGACTACATTCACATGAGTTTTCTACCCAAAACATGAATCTGAATTTTCTAAAATAGGAACCATCACATAGTTTCAGATTTTTGAAGTAACGGCATTCTAATATTTGCATGAATAGCCTCTGTTATTAATGGGATAGATTTGGCCTGAGGTTCAAGAAAAAGCTATACATGAGAACCTCGGGACTGTAAAACAAAATGGTAATCTCTTCAAACCTTTTAAATAATTTTTCTGACCAACTAAGCTTTATATGTCTAATACAAGGCAGGCTATGTAATGTGGTTCACTGATGTAAAATTATGCCTGAAGAGGTCTTACCAACTTTTTTAGTGTCTTAAGAATCACCAAATTTGGGTGCAGATTTTGAATTATCATTTAAAATATTTAAATGCATCCATACAGCACTCTGACTCTATACAAGCTGGCAAAACAATTCCTGATCTGCTACATAAGGATGTCAAATCTATAAGGAGTGCCGAGTAACGTTTTCATATTCTAGTTTTGTTTACCAAGCCGTGTCTGTACTGAAGATATCACTTGAACCATTTTGCTATCAAATAGAAAAATCTCAAAATACAAAAGAATACAAACCTAATTAATACTATATTTCATGGAAAGATAAAGCCATTACAGACTCTACTCCAATTAAAAAACTTCATAACTTAAATTAAATTTTATAAATAATAACATATTATTAATCTTATTCATAGAGAGTTTATAGCATTTGTACATTGCTCAGATAATAAATAGATGAAACGATACTAAACAGCTTAATCAGGAGCATTCAGGATGGATTGTGAGTCTAACATTCCTTCGGACGAGAGGAAACTTGTGTTCAGAGTTAACGAGCTGACGCTGAGCAAAGCTGCGGCGACAGGTCCTGCGTTGGCCCTTCGGGAGAAGGGAAAGAAAGAGCCGATCTTGCTGAGGCTCTCCAGTGGAGGAGGGAGTTGGGAGGGGGAGGAGGGTATTCCTCGGTCCAGCTGATCAATCTGAGACACCAATAGTCGGCAGTTCAGGTCCACCTGTCACCACAGATACAGATCACATACATATTTTGTGAAAACTACATAAAAATAATATTTATAAAGAAAATGTGGTTTCTATAAGGATGACTATATGTTCGTTTTAGTGGGATGCAAAAACTACTTGAACCACTATTTGTTATTTTAAGTATATATTGTAGTACATCACCAGGTTTTTAAGTGACTCTTTTCGACCCGAGCTCAAGTTTTACAATCGAGGCGAAGCTGAGGTCAAGAAATGAGTGAGGGTTAAAGAAATTTTTTGCCTGTGTGTTGAACTATATAATTTTTTTTGCCATATTTCACCATTATTTAGGAAAACTAGGCCTACAATACAAAACGAAAATAGTTTCCATGTAAAGATAACCTCTCAAAACTTCTTCCAATTTGTGTTTTCAATTTTGCTACTACAAATAAGCATTACAATTGTGTTAGCCTACATTATAATATAGATAAAACTAGTAGATTTTTCATCCTTATGAAATAGCTGAAGCCAATTCTATTGTTAGCTCTGTCCGGTGCACTGTAGAGGTTGTGTTTTGTTTACTATTTGTTTCTTGTTATTTTAGTCATTTAAAACATTGTTTAACCAAATAAAACAATACTTATTTATAATCCTAAACGATAACTCGTTCCCTAGTTATCTAGCCAAACAGTAAAGCACAAATCATTAAATCAAACCTAAAATAATAGAAACAAAATTTAGTCGACAGTTGCGATCAGTGTCACTGGACATGAACTAGACATGAAAAACAAGCTCCAACACCTACAATGTACAATGGGATGAGAAGTCTAGGCCTATTTGTGTTGGTTAGCCTATGGTTATACTATCAAAATGTGACACTTTTGAGAAGAAGACACTGTAAGCTACAAGCGATTGAAACAATTGATACATAAGTTCCTTGCGATACATGCTTAGAATAAAAATTTACAACTGAGTTAACAACAGCTGACTTTTAGTCCCTAGGGCTGAAAAGAACTGCTTTAGACCCACAATGCATGTACTAAAAACTGCTGTTTTTGCTGCATTATGATAAAAAATATAGGCCTACTCTCTGAAGCAGACCTACAATGGGACCGAAATATCAGTGTTTTGTTGTGTGGTTATTTCTGTGTACCTATAAGGTCTATACTCTTGCTCGACAAGCTGAGAAACACCAGAAGAAAAGCTGTTCAATAAAAACAATAAAATATTATATACATTATTATTATTATTAATATGCGAATATATATTACAATATTTTTATAAATAATACATAACCAGGCAGAATAAAAAGCCTTGAGATAATGATTGTAATTAAAACCTCTGTGGTATTTTAAACACTAAGCTTGTGGGATAGGGCTGCAGCCTCATGCTTGTAAGATTACCTGAGGTTTTCCTCCACCAATGATCTCCATGCTGGGGATGAACCTGAAGTAGCACTGACTCCATATCTGCAGAGACGACACCCCAGTCTGAACCTGTAGTGGGGGGAGTGAGTACGGTGATGGTGGAGGGGGGGTGTACAGCGGGTTGGAGAACAAAGACACGTCTCTTTCCGAGAACTGCTCTCCCCAATCCCACACAGGACGTATAGTGAGAGGGTTATTGGGGTCCTGTGTATAGAGACAAAATACCAGTCAAACTCTGCTCAGACAGTACAAAATGACTAAACCAGCTTAATGAATAAATTATTTTTTCCTAAATTAAAATAACACAGTACAATAATAAAAATTGTAAAACATTTTTAACTGGTCACTATTTTAAGTAGTGTGACCAGTTATTTTAAGATTTATGTGAGAACAGCAAGCTTACCTGAATGGGAATGAGTCAACTTTAGCACAAGGAACACACAACTTCTTATTGTAAACTGCATACTTAAAAATTAGAATGTTTCACTATAACTGACAAAGCAGGTTTGATAGAAGAAGTTGTAAACAAGAACGTAGCTTCCCATTCAAATAAGCCCCTTCTCACCCATCTTCACTCCCTTTAAAGCCTAATCTCTTTTACTCTGTTACATCCTTCCTTAATCTAAATAGGAAAATTTACTGTGTTATGAGACCACCAAATAAAGAAACAAAACATATCCAAACTAGGATATGAAGAAGAGATTTTTAAATTGATCAAACATTCAAACTTAGAAAATTTTCAATTTAAAAAAACTTATAAATTTAATAAATATTTATTAACATCAACAAATATTTGTTTAAAGTGTATTGTTACTTGAATTTACGTTGTTCAAAGTATCATTGCAGTTTGTTTTCATTACTGATTAGATAATTAGAAGTTTAACAACGTATCAAGGTCTGGAATATGATTCCGTTTTCAGGTTGTAAGGATTGATAGTTTTTAGTTTTTCCACAATGAAAGACAAAGGTGTCAGATTCTACATCCCTGAACATTGTGAATCATTGGTTTGAATTATTATTGAAAAAAATTTGTAACCATCTTGTAAAAAACCATAAGCTCAACATCTACCAACAATCCACAATATTTTCAAAAGGATTATCAAACATTTTCAACACATGAAAAATAAAAAAAAATAAACTTACCGACATGGCCAGCTTTCTGTCTCGCTCACAGTCAAACAGGAATGTCTCAAATACAGAGATGTGAGCCGAGTCCCACAAAGTGGTGAGATAAGTCTCAGTAAACTGGAACTCTCCAGGAAACTGCTCCAAGAGTTGCCACACACAGTCCAGGAACAACAGAAACACTGGTGCCTGGACAATCAACCACAATAATAAGAACGTTTGTTGTGTTAATAGATACTGAACATAATTAATAACAGTCCTACAAACTCGGCGTAACTTGCACTGTAAGAGTGCTGAGTTTGAAAAATACTAGGTTATTGGGGGAAAAGGTGCATACATTATAACTAAGACGTAACTGAAAACATTTTTCATTTTAATTCTTGCACGAATGAGAAGTATTAGATTTACAATACCTATAACATCTATAATAAAACGAAACAGGGTTTTTTTATTTCACGATTCTGAATCAACCACTTGACGGATTTTCATGATTTTTGTGTTGAAAGAAAGATAATTTTGAGAACTAGGGAATGTCGAAGCCATAATTTTAGTTTAGGGTTTCAGTTTTTTAGAAATTAAGTTTTAATTTTTAAAAAGTCTAGCAGCCGACGCTAGCAATTTAAAGTATTTTTAATGCTGGTTTAACTAACAGCTGGTTTATATCTGTCATTGAAATGTTTATGTTAAGAGTTGTTTGTTTACAAAAATATTGTTCGTTGGTGTTTGCCTACATACTATTTCACTTAAAAATGTAGATAGTTTTCCCCTACCGTGAAGGATCTGCGTTATCAGGAAATGTGTTATTTTGAACTAAACATCTCAAACACTTGCGTTTACTCAAGTTTTGTCGTAAATGCAATCTGTGTAAGTATTTAGTTTATGCATTGCAAATTTCAACTCATATTTGGGAAATATTTTTTCAGCAGTTTATCGCTTAGTTGTTTAAGATATAAGTGGTTTACGTGTTGATAGGCTACCTACTTCTTTTTCTGTATGTTTGAATGTGAGTATGTCGGCATACTAAAATTTTGGTTAGTAATGAAAGCGTCAATCGGTGTAGTAGGTCTCTATAAAACTGTCAAATAAACTGCAGGGTACAGCAGAAACCAGAGTCGACTCATACCATACCAATTATCCCCGTAGTACTGATGATTCAGAAACTTGGACACTGACCAATGAACCAAAAAACCTCAATGCTGGGTTAGATAATAAAGTGCAGAGAAAATATTAAGAGACCAGTTCAAGATAACGGCCCGGAGGTCGAAATACAAAAGAACAGAGAGACCGTTCCTATATCCCAAATATAGGAATGCTTTCCAGAAGTAGGTAAAGCTTGGATGGACAGGCTGTGCATAAACTTTTAAAAAGTATATTCCAAGGAGTACCACACGAAAGACGGGAAATATCAAGTTATGAAATGCATCCTCAGACTGGGATCTAAATTTTGAAGAGGCAGGTGATAGAAGAGAATCATCATAAAAGTTTCAGTGGTCACGGAGGTAAGATAAGGTATGGTAAGTACATAAGTAGTACAGTATGCAATTGGAGGTGGCATGTAGCTACTCTACTCAAAACAAGTGTGAATCGGTCGCCAATCTCACTTCAAGATTTTTCAAATCGACACAAATGCTGTTTTATGGTAAAATTATCGGATTTAAAATGCATATCGCCAGGTCTATATTCGAATGGAATACATAGGTGGTCACGTTACATTTGTTTATAAGGCGATCTTCCCCATTAAAACTGCCAGAATTTGTGTCCATGCGTGTAAACTAGATGTTCTGAATTATTCCGTTTTAGTTGACAACTCGATTCCCGTACGTAGGACGGGCCACCAGCTCGTAGTCATAATATTGAATGATTTAATGTTGCCATACTGACTGAATAGATGTACAACTCAAGTGCCCTGGTGTCATTGTCCTCTAATACCATTAAATTTAAGTGGTTAAGTCAATGTAATCTACTGTGTAGATATCTAACATAGCAAGATCTGTAGTCTGCCGACAAGAATCGCTTGTAAGGTTATTAATACAGGGTTACACAGAATTTACACAAAAATTCTTTACCCAGACTACCGGGTTATCGGCTGGAGAGTTTGCGGGACTTACACACCAGCTTATTTATTCCGTAGGAAACAAAATCTATATGTTCGTTTCAACTTCAAGAAAAGATGTTGAACTAAATATTTGTGAACTTTAGGGTAAAAATGTCACATACCTCTTGAGTCTCCATGTTGTAAACATGTCCTAGCCTGGTGCAGAACGGATGTCCGAGCGCGACCCACTCCTTCTGTACAAGGGATTGGAAGCCGATGATGGTGCGGTAGTGAGGGTCTATCAGAATCTGTGCTAGGCTGGCCACTACGCAGCACATGTCGTACCCATCACCCTCTGTGGGACAAGACAGTAAGTGTGCAATCTTAAGAGGACATTTGAAATATTTTGTATATAGTTTATTGGGCTCAGAATTTAATAAACAAATATTTCCATGCATATGACTTCATGAATGAAGAAATCTAGGCTACAATAAACAGGTAGGACTGCCGATATTTTTTGTTCTTGTCAACAAAAAATTACTGGTAAAACTCTGTGAAAGTAGAAAGGAGGAATACACTGACATTAAGCGCGCTTATTTTACCAAAATACCTTTTGCTTTCTGGGCAGTCTCTGTCACAACGTAATAAAAAAAACTCTAACATCTAAATGTTAAATAATTGTAAGCAATTCTTTTTTTTTAAGCTACAAAAAACTGTTGATTAATAATTTTGTCTAAAGAAAAGTCAAATTAACAAATTTAACCATTGATTAGAAAAAGTTATATTGAGCTAAGAATAATCAATGTAAATGTTCAAAATGCATAATAATTTGGATTCCAAAATATGGTACATAAAGGGAAAGAGGATATTGGCAGTCCCAGTTTAAAAAAAAACACTTTTTTGCAAAAATGATTGGTATAACGTGGATTAAGGACGTAAGAATCACCTTGTAGCACCACTGTGAAGTCATTGTGAAGACCTAGAGCCGCCTCGTGGGCTTTGGCGAGACATATGGACACATAGTGCAGCCACCGTGAGCCCTCCAGTATACTGAGAAAGTGATTGTCTTGGGCCCAGAACTGACGTATACTCTCTGCAACCACAGACATACTGGGTATCAAACTGTGGATAAATGACCATATATACACTTCATTCTACGTTCATCGAGCAGTACAACTCTTATGGAAGATAGTCGTTCTATTAAATTACCGGAAAAATTACTTATTTATGTATATTTTTTATGGATTGGTATTTTGTCTTTGGTATGGCTAAAGTTTATATGGTAGTAAAAAGTAAAGAGTTAAAATAAAGTTTTGCGAACCCTGATGTTTTCAGGGAGACTAGTGTCGCTGAAACTGCCATATGAAATACAAGGCTTCGTACTGCATGGTGAATGTAGAATATGAATTTATGAATTCTTAAGGGTTAAGAAATTGGCAGTGTTAGTTGAAGGCTGTTAGTTTAACTACCTGGCACACAAAAATCCTCCATTTAAAATTATTCACACTTAGATATCCTTCTTATGGGTATGACTCTAGTTCATCAACCAGGTCCACATGATCCTTTTTCATATTGTTAATCAAGAATCAATAATTTTACTGACCAACAATACAACATGCCATTCTATCTCGACATACAAATTACAAAATGTTGTAAAAATGCATACCAATGACGTACAACTAAGAAATTACAAACGTACATTAGAGTACATAGGCTACACAGTCCGCAATGACCTAAATTATTGAGTAGTCCAGATTAAAGAGAAGAATTCTAGTGTGGCATAGTTTAGTGGACTGTTGATCAAAATGTATTTTATCCTATCCTTGAACTTTTTTAATGACACGTTTTTGATTGCAGTAGGAAGAACATTGTACAGCTTAAGTGCAGTTGCCTCAAAACTTGTTAGGTCCTGGAAGATTTATTATACTTTATTACTTTATAAATATGTGATTCTTCTACCTAGTGGAGTAATTATGTCAATTTTCACACAACAATAAATTATGAACATGCTTAAAATAAATTAAGCAATCGAAAACATCTAATAGTTTAACAATTTCCTTACTCGAACTTAAAAGTTGTATTTACAGTTTTACACCGTTATATTAGCACATTTGTTGTGACTTTGATGAGAGCTAAGAGATGTAGTGGACTACAGGGAAAAATTAAGCAATAGACACAGGTAAGCAGTGGTAGCAGCTCGGCAGTGATGTCTCCACGCACAGTGGACAGGTGCCAGCCTGACTGGATACAATTCCGATTCCAGGTCAAGTGAAGATACACAATGGAAACCCGTTTGAAATTAAGTAGGAATGTTTGTAAAATAGCTTATAGAACATTTAGTGGTGGGCGTTATATAACGTAATAGTATAAATAACACTATTACTGAGGATTCACCAATTACCTTCGTAACAGGTTACTGAGAATACCATCTTTGTAACGTTTTCTGTACCGTAAGAACCAGCTAGTGAAATAACGCTGATCATGTCGTCCTATTAATTAATAGCGAGCGCTTGGTAATAATTATACCGAGTGAGAATCATATTATTTTTGTAACGTCATCTGAACTGATAGGTCAAACAAGTGAAACAACGCTGACCGTGTTGTCCTATAAATTAAAAGTAAGCACTTGGTAATAGTTTACTGAGAATCATATTATTTTTGTAAAGTCGTAGCACGAACAAGTGAAATAACGCTGACCATATAATCCTATTAATTAATAGCGAGCGCTAGTTAATAGTTTAGTGAGAATTATATTATTTTTATAACGTCGTAGTACCCGAACAAGTGAAATAACGCTAGAAGAGGAAATACTAGGTGAGAAAAATAATAGTGTTATTTCACCTATTACCAAAATACTAAAGAGGGTTCCTGACTGTTACTGAAAAGTAACGGAATTTCCCATCTCTAGAACAATTTAGGAAAATTATATGTACTAGTAAACACGTAGCTCGAAATAGAGATATTGGAGGGAAGTAAAGTAGTTATTTGAAAACAAATAAAAGTCATCATAATTTCCTATGAGTTTTAAAAGACTTTGAATTGAAAAATAAATAACAGCAATTAAATCATACAGCTGATCAAAATGTAAACAATTATGTTCTTCATAAGGATAACATGGGAACTTTCAAAGCCACTGGGGCAGAGCCCAAGGGACTTTTTCAAAAATGTCCAGTTTGCAAATCTACGCAACACGCTCTTTCCAATGAGACGTCAATGGATAAAATCTGTTCAGAAATGGCGGAGGAGTTCAACCGACAAAGTTTCATGTAGCGTATTAATTATATAGATGATTGATTTACAAAAAATATTTTATTTGTGAGTAAGGATGTTTAGAACGTAAAAATTTCTATTTCTATTTACCTGATGGAATTTTAGTAATTTCAGTCTTTTTTAAACAGGAATTTCAGAACGTGAAGGCAATGGCAGAAGCCGTCTGCAAAATTTGCGCGATAGGATATTCATGGTTTTGACGTTATCGTGAGATATGATTGTTATGTTGCTGCCAACAGAAGAGATGGCCAGGATTCACGTGGGAGATTATAATTATGTTACCAATTCACAGTAGATCATCACACTTTCAGAACAATTGGGGGAGATTTCTCGGTTTTGAATCCATCTGAATCCCTTGAAGTATTGAGCATATTTTGAGGAATTGAGAATAAGAATAAGGCCATCCCTGTTCTTGTGGTTAAGCAGCAAAAGACTCGGCTCAATTCTTTTTCACAGTTGACCAAATTCATGCCGCACTCACAGTGGATTGAGTGCCCTGTTTGACTGACCTGGTGCACAGAGGTCCCTCAGTTTGACGAAGCTCACTTGCAACTCCCGCGGCGAAGGCACATCTTTGTTGAGCTCCATCACCTTGGGTTGCGCAAGGCGAGGATGACTCTTGCGTACTGTCTCCAGCATCGTGTTCTCTTTTACCCTAGGAAAACACACAGGGAAAAATCATATAAAGCGAGTTTCTGTTTACAAGTTGCTAACTAAAAAAAATTATTGAGACTAGGAAGTTACATTTTTACACAGTAGTAGTAAAAGAAAAGTTATTTTATAGGGACAAAACACTGAAAGGTTTGTTCTGAAAATTGATTGGTTGTAACAAAAAAAATATGCTGAGCCATTTCTTCTAATCTTACAATGAACATACAGTAAATAGAGGTGACAGTCTCAGACACAACCACTAGAGCATTCTGACCATTATTCACAGTTTTCAAAGTTCATTCAAAAGCGGATGCTTTATCTTCTGCCGCCTGCTTAAATATTTCTGTTTTGATTTAAATTGCCAATGTGAGTGAAATCAGGTTTTCACCAGGGCTGATATATCAAAGGCATGGTAGGCACGTGACAACTGGCTTTTTTGGAGGGTGCCAAAAAGTGGGAAAATGAAAAAAGTGGTGGTTGTATTTGCATGCGATGGTGTTTAACTTTTGATAATCCCTCGCGGCCGTGTGTAGACATCATTATTGTCTCCCTTGGCCGTATAGACATTGTAACCGTATCCCACGATAGCAACAAAATTCAGACTATTTCCCGAGATCGTGTAGACATAATCATTGTCTTATATTTGAATATATCCCGTGGCTGTGAAGAGATTATCGTCGTCTTCCGTGATCGCGGGAATATTCTGATCTTCCCTCGTGGCTCTGTAGATATCAACATCATCTTGCAAGATCATGGAAAATTCTGATCATCCCTAGCGGCAGTGTGTAGACACATTATCATCCACCGCGGTGATGGAAACGTCACTATTATCATGCACGATCGCGGTAAATTGAAAATTCGTGGTCCAAATATAAAATTCCCGGTTTAAAAAATACTAATGCATAATTCCCGGATATCGCGGTCGGTGGATACCCTGTTATATACATTTCAAATAGGCGCTACTATTAATTGGGCCTAGGGCGCTGAGTGGGTAAAAAACAGGCCTGGTTTTCACTTGTAAACTCGGGCTGCTGAACTGTTTTCAAGCAATAATCAGGAAGTAAGGAAAGCTGATGCTCGAGAAAAATATCAAATATTTGTCAACATGTAAAATAAGATATATTTTTAACAAATTAAAAAGTTCTAGGGAGAATAGATAAATTTGTAACTCTGAAGTAACTCTCTCTGTAACCAATGCATCATCCTCACACTAAATGAACATTTTGAAGGATTAAATAAACTTAAAGTCAATGCTATAGTCACAATGACAATATACATTACTTTTTCTTACAATGACAAACAAGTTGTAAAACACTCAATATTAAACTGTATCTTATACTACAAAACATAAAAATAATTTTAAAGTAAGAAAACTCAAAATTTTATCTCTGAAAAAAGTTTGTTGATGGCGCTGTGAAATATAATTATTAACTATTTAATTTTGTCATCGATAGTAAAGGAAAAATAAAATTATTTTTTTCCATTCTTTCCTTTTTTTTCTACACCAGTGACATTTTTTTATTGGAGGCATTTACAATTTTAAGGGAAAGTGTTCCTCCCGCACCAAAGTCCGAGAGGCTAACCACTAGGCCAGCAACACACCCAAAGATCCTTAAAGATTACATAATAGCATATGAAATAGTAAATTCTTTCTTCAAAAATAACATTGAGATTGATAAATACTGTTGTTTTTAAAACAGAAAATACTTAAAAATAGATTTTTAATACAGTCATAGTGATCCAGAGGCCACACCACAATACAATTACAACAGAGTTCAAATTCAAATACAAATTAGCTTTATTGTCACATAAAACATTTATACATAGTAGGGTAAAGCTATTAAACGGGGTGACATAGTTAATTAATTTAATTTATAAACTTAATACAGTAGAACTAACTATTTCTCTGATACATCACATTTTTAGAAAAAAACAAAACAAAAAAACTATTGTCAACTAGCATTATTATTTTTATTGTAGAATAACATTATTATTATTATTATTATTGGTACTTTCTTGTTGCAATGTATAAGCTGTTGTATAACTGACTAAACCAATTGTAATCTTTTACTACTCAATGCCGAATAAAATTCATGATTCTAAAATTATATCCACCAAACAATTTCAAACAGTTTTGAAAAGTTTTGTTGGATATAGCAATTTTTATGCTCATAAGTAACCCTTAATACATTGTGTCTCCAAAAATAGGAGTAAATTTTTCTCCCACCTCTAAAGAATTTCTTTGTAGGATCAGTGGCTCAGCGACTTAACAAGAAACTGTGAAACAAGGCAGCGATGTTGTGGGTCCGGTGCCACTTCTTAAAAAAAATATGTCAGTTCAGTTCAATCTTGTCCTTCACTGGCTTTTTCTTGATATGTTCCACGTAGTCCTGAGCCCATGTGGATGGGCAAGTTCAAGGGAAAAAAGCCACCAACTTAAAAAGTCAAATAAATAAACATATTTATTACAAGACTTTTAATCACACTTTCTGGTTACGCTCTGTACCATGGAGTGGGAGAAAAAAAATTACTAAACTCTATGCTAAAGTAAATTGTACATGTTTCTTGCATTATTTATACCTTGATAAGCGTTATTGTTACCAAAAGTATAATCTTTTTTACTAATTTAAACATTCTTGATTAGGTACAAAAGAGAGTGGTTTCACAATATTATACTGACAAACATAGAAAGGGTCTAAACTGAAGGAATACCTCGGTAGGGTCCAAGAGGCAGTATCCGGTCTGAAACTGTTCAGTATATCAGACCCTCCAGTCACAACTACACTCCTCCTGCAAGAGAAAATACAAGATAACTTTAAAAATTATATTACAAGTGACTGAGCCACTGAATCACAATAGAAAAGTAATTTAAAAATGTTAAGTTTTGGTATATTTTCAGTCTAAGTTAAGAAAACTGTTTTCTTATAATTAAAACCACTACGGTACACAAAGTAAACAAAATTCAGGTGGTTTGAGGGGAAGGTTTCCTGGGTTCTTCCACCATCTTTTTTAGCTTAATTGTATGCATCAGCTGATCAGCTCTCAGCTGTTGTTTCATAGTTAGGGTGAGGTAGAGAGGATGGAATTGCTTCCCCTCAATCCGCCTATATTTTGGGAACAGAGTTTATTATAATATTGTACTCGATTAACCCAACTAAAATTAACACTGTACAATTTTAGTCCCACTAATTCAAAGAGGGCTATGAAACGTACAGACTTGTCACGTACACTCATATCAATATCACTCCCAATCACAGACCCAATACAGAGAAGATTTTATTGAAGTGTCCACAAATATTATTTTATCGGACAATTAGGCCTCAAAAGTTAATGCATATCATGATACATACCGGTACCAAGATAAAAACACTGACCCAAATTTACAAAAATTCAAACAAAGTTTGGAACCAACCACTTTAGGACTTTAACTTGAATGCTAAAATATAAAACTAGCTATACATCAATAGCTTGATACTTAATGAATTGTATTTTATTGTAGCAAAATTAGTTTAGCAAGACACCCATTTGCAGCAAGAGAATCCAAAGCAATGGTACATGCACCACAAATGAACCATGAAGAAGAGGGTTAGATATTAACTATCTTTGGACAAGTGGTTATGTATAATTAGAGTAAGCAGTGCTGAGGTAGCAAGTTTGATATAAGAAGATAAGCTGGTGGCATGAGGGGTTCTTGATTTTCTCTTTTTTACCCATCGAAAACTTTCCAGAGTTTGGAGCTTGACTACCCGTATACAATCAAAAACACTTGAAAAGAAAATAGAAAAAAATGCAGTTTTATTATTTTAATAGTTGTATAGATATCACATAAGATAGGAATTAAAAAATACATTGTATAATGTAAAAATGTGAATAATTCAACAAAAACTTCAGCAAAGTTTTTTGTTAATTTCAACTCAAATTTGGTCACAATTTTTTTACAGATAAAGACTCATTAACACAATACCCAAAGTTAAAAATCCTGAATAGAATGAAAAATTATTTTTTCAAATGCACTCCCTAAGTGTTTAAGAACAGGTTAATAATAAGCCTGTAAAATATGTAAATAAGCGGATCTAAGGATATACAATTTCTCTACTCGACAGTTAATAACAACCTTGTGTGCTTATATCGCATAGAGAAGCTGGGTAAAATGGTTACCAAACAAATATTATTCATACCGGGTGTTTATAAATGAATATCGGGGTTTTATCGCTTTATAACTTTTATACTATTAAACTTACTGCTATAAATAACACATAAAATAAAAAAGCAACTCAAAGAGTTTATGCCTTCCAACGACACATTGTTTAACAAAATCGATCTAGTAGAACTGTAGATTTCTTACAATTTACTATTATGCATTTCAAAATAAATAAATGTGAAATTTAATGTTTGCTATGTCTATTGCCTACATTAAAGACGGAGATTTTCACATTTTTTTAATTTTTAGGCAATTTTTGGCTATCTTTATTGGGTATTTTTAAGAAATGCATAATGGTAAATTGTAGGAAATTTTATTCTCTTTCAGAATATTACCGTCCACTTTGGTCGATTTCCTCACCATTTAAAAGCTCTTTGCAAAAACTTTAAGCAACCTCTGAATTTATAGTGGTGGAAAAAGTTAGATTTCTTTTTAACTTGTACAATTATACCTACAGTTCTACTGGATCGATTTTGTTAAATGGTGTGTCATTGTAAGGCATGAACTCTTTGAGTTGCTTTTTTTTATTTTATGGGTTATTCATAGCGGTAAGTTTATAGTATAAAAGTTATAAAGCGTTAAAACCCAGATATTCATTTTTACCTTTATCATGATATATTAAAAAATTATCAGTGTGTTTTTTAAGGTCATAAAATACAAATTTTCAAACTGACCAGTTTTAATAAGAAACAAGATTTTAAACAACCATAACTTTTAACAATAGTCAAAAGTTTGGAGACATGGTTTTTGAATCGTTAAGAAATTTTGATAATTAAAACCAAAAGCGATTAAGTCCAAATGAGCATGCCACAATTGATGATTCATGCAAATTTTAAACTGTTATAAAACTCACCTGAGTAATTTGACAATAATTCTTCAAAATAACAAAACTCAGGTAACTAAACAAATTCTTCTAAGTTCTTCATACTTGAAATAAAACAAAAAACCCAAGACGGATAAAGGATGTGGCAAGATAAACATTTATTACAAACACATAACACAAGTGTTGATAAATTATTAACTGTAAAGAAATATCTAAAATGATTCATGCAACTACACATAGCTGATAAATAAACAGTGTGAATACTAAATAGTTAACGTTAACAGTAAGAAAATCTAAGTGCAGCTACAGTAAAAAATATATCTCCAAGTACTATGAAAGATCAAGGTTGATTTTGTGCGGTTTATTTTAGAAAGCATTCATAAATAAGATTGAGTTGAAAAAAAACCACATACATCACTTCACTATTTCACAATACTACTGAGTAACTGGATAAATGTTAAGACATTTTATGTCTAGATTAAAAATATAAACTGACTATGGATGTCTTGTAAATAAATCAAACCAAAATGATCAATATGATACAATATGAATAATTTAAAAACCTTTATTCTAAGTGATTTTACAATCTGTTAATCACAGTGATTAATTATAACATGTATTCGTAACCGATTTTGAGAAGATCTGACCCAGTTCCCATTAAATAAAATCAATTTTAATTTCTAAAAAAAACAAAAAAACACTTCTTACTTAGAAGTGTTAAAGAAAGTATTATTGGAAAAAAAGAAAGTATTAAATAAAGTAAAGACACAAAAAAAATATAATGTACCAGGTTAGTGGATTGGTAAACACACCCCCTTACAATGGCTTGCACTGACCAAAACATTGACCACATTAATTAATTGTGACTTATTATTGTTTTTTTTTGTTTTTATTCTTAGAAAGAAGAGAGGAAATGCTTTTACGCACACATGTGGCCAGCCAGTAGTTGATGCTACTGAATTGATCAGACTACTCGCTTAAAAACCCTTATTCTCTGTTGGATTGTTTGCCACATTAAGTCAGGCCAACATGTAACTGAAGCCCTCAGGGCTCCTATATTTCTCACATTCAGTTCTTTTATGACCTAGACCTTTTCTTAGTCAAGGTCAAGCTTCTTGGCACGGAGAATACCTGGATGAAATGTGAAAAACATGTCCAACTGTCCTCAGCCTCCGTGGTCATCGCACGTGCTCTCTATCGACTGATAATTAGGCTGATATAACTTATATTTAACTAAGACTTAGTAAACTACCTATGAGGATTAATCTTTGCACACATCAAAAAGTAAAGTAATCAGTAAAAATAATACTGTCAATACTTGGCCACTTCAATAACCATTGATTGCATATATTCACACTTCACATGATTATTCCGTCTGCACGCACTCAGTACAACTTTGTAAAACGTGTGTTTCGGCTCTCGCCATTTTGTACGTGCGTCCTACAATGTTGTACAAAATGCGTGCAGACGGAAGAATTGAGTGTGAATATACGTGATTTATCCAGCGCTGCACGGAATTCACCAGAGACCATCTCCATACAATTCTATATCCATTGATCATTTATCACCATGCACTAAACCATCAATTTTTAAACTGCCTTAGGCCAATTTGAGGTAAAAACTATTAAGAATTTTCTATTAAAATTTATAAATAGACCTATAAATGATAAATTTTCTATTAATTCAGAACAGAACTCTTCATCGTATAAAAGTAAGGATGTTTAACAACAAAAATTTAGAGAAATATTTATTGCCTTTTTAAAGCGGAAAATAAACAATTACAGTATTTTTCAGGGTGGGAAATTGAAAATTGAGTGTGGAAACAACTACAAAGTTTGCGCGACTGAGCAATGTTGCTTTGATCAAGCTTTAGATTACCACAACGTAGCTACCGAACAATTACTTTTTTCATAGAAATTTTGGATAATCACTTTGTAATGATTATTTTCTTAAAACAATAATTATTTTCTATACAGGCTTAAAAAATATGCCAAATTATGACACTTTAGAGGGCATTTGCTACTGCTACTATTTAAGTATTGTAATGAGACGACTTTAGTATATCGATAGAAGATTGAAGATGATACTTGCAGGGGATACAATTGTACACAAGATGTTCTACCTATCCAAGAGTGGGGTACAATTACAGTCCGTGCATACTATGATTGAAGTTGGCAGACGATACAATTCCAGGGTGTACAAATCCAGAGGGGTACAGTTACGGGCCATACATCTCTCTTTTTAATTTCAATATAATCATCCAGATCACTGGTATCTTGCCTACATTAAATAAATTAGATTGCATTATAAGGCAAGCGTAAAAGTATGAATATTGTAACCACTCCCATTAGTGTGACTCCCATTATGTGTGCTAGCCATTGCTCGGTGGGAGGTTGCAATTCCAAGGGGGTACAATGGAAAAGTAGATTTTCATTCAAATTGAATATTGATTGTTTCAAGAATGTTCAATTTGAAATTGATAATGAAAGGTTTTGTGCAATCGAAGGGTCCATACCTGTCAGTGAGGAACGGCTGTATGTCAGACATGCGTACTAGAGCAGCACCACGGGGAGAGCTCCAGCACCACAGCGGGGGTCGGCCACCACGGAAGTGACGAGCAGCCTCTAGCAGTTGTGGGTCTGAGGCTGAGGAAGGCACCACGATCCACTCCGGCAAACTACAACAGAGATTCTTTCCTCTAGTGAAGATCTCAAGTGCACATAAAAAAACTAAAAATGTTGAATATATTTCAAACCATTGTTATTCATCGAGGATACTTCTTTACTCTTGGATATCAATATCATATTAATCTCACATCACTGGCATCACTGCTCTTCCTAATCAGAATAATTCCTGTTTTTGAGAGTCGACTAAAGTGATTTTAGCCTTGGAGCCAATGGTTTTTATCATGTCTGCAGCCTTTGTTTACATTATGATATGTTGTTTCATGTTTGAATGGCTATAATACTTCTATCATGAAAAATCATTTTATTAGTATAGGTACCATAAAAAACACTTGATGGATAATAGAAAACAAGATTTTTAATCAATATAGGCTTACACCATTTAATAATACAATTTGTTGACCTAAGTTACTCGCATCTAACTTTAGAATACTATGTTCTATTGGTCTAAAGTAAAATAGGTGTTTTTATGAGCATAATGATTTTCAGCAAACTCAGAATATTGAATACAATTTGGAAAATATTTTACTAGAAAATTCACGTTATTATTTGCCTTGATTTATCAGAAATTGCAAAACCTATTAAACACAACAAAAACTAAACATAAGTTCAGCAACATTTACATTTTGTAAAAAATTAAACAGTGTTTTAATTCAATTGAATTGGACAGGAACCCTCATATCTGTCAGGTGTGGTATAACAAATAGATCAGAACACATAAGGTTGGATAAAGAAGGAGGCCAAAAGCGAGTGTAATCATTTAACTCATTCACGATGACAATAAATATAAATGTAGTACAGTAAAATATTCTGAGATTTGCAGCAATTTATTCTATTTTTGGGAGAGATGGTTTTTCTGCAGGTTTCGTTCTTTTAAAGGATAATCTTTCAGGTACAGGGTAAAATAAAATTTGAAAGTAACACTTCGCAACCCACCTGGCGGCCATTTTAAACTCCTTGTTAATGGACGTCAACCTCCAGCCGATCCCTCCAGTCCGAGCCAACTCCTGACCCCAGTCTCCCGGGTCATGAAACATGGGTGTGGGAAATCGTAGAAACAAGTCACGTTGGAAATCGTCATACGGCTCTCTGTGGAATGATAAAATTAGCATAAGTAATACATCGTACAGTCCACCAGCTGTTACCCATGGGACCAAGATTACGACGGATAAAGGAAATTCCTTTAAGCAAGTCACATGTGGTGATCGACAAGCGCCAAATATTTCTAAGCTGAGGTGCCCAAGCATTCATCACTTTCTAAGCATTCTCTACTGTTGTTTAGGAATGGAAAATATCAACACAGAAACAACGAGTACTGACATTTGCTGAATAACGTGTAGACAAATGCACACTAGTCATAATACAGCAAATGGTGCATGAGCAAAACTGTCTTTATAAATAACTACAGTTAGGAAAACAACAATGATTAAAGAAAGAAAGAAAGAAGCAATGATAAAACCGAATCTTAAATCTAAAACCAATAATACTTTGTATAGTTCATGGTTCTGTAAAAGAATTACTTCTTGAAAGTTTCTATATAGATTGACTTCTAACCTTTTAAGTATAGCGAGTTTTGAGTTATCTCCAGCTTCAAATTACACACAATACCTGAAATCGTAAGCAAAAAGTAGTTGGTGCCTTTTCGGAAACGCGTGATGTAGTAGGGCGTTTGTAAGATTCCGACCGTGACCAACAGGGGAGAACTTGAAACTGAAGGTCATTACTCTCATATTCTGAAACAAAAAGTGGTCACTTGTTATTTCAACTTTGAGCTTAAGTAGGCAGTGCAAAAGAGGTGATTTAAGGTCCAGATTATTTTCTGGGAAACTAACTATAAATTTGTTTAGGAAGTTCGGAGTTGAAGGCGTTAATGCGGATATTTACCATTACAATTAGGCAAATTTTCATTCGGTTACATTTGTTAAATTTAGAGAACTATGAGTTTATTTTTGTTGTAGAGGTGAGAAAAACATACTATGTATTGTCAACTGTTTGATGGAAAATAAATATTTAAATTTGTGTACTGTCAAGACAGTCTCAAATATTACCACTCTCTTTTATATTTGCTGATTAAGGTCACATAGATTAGGTTAGCCTATAAGGGAAATAACTGAAATAAGATACTTCAAGAAGACATACATTTTAACATATTTTATTAAATTAAATTGAAACTACAAGCACCTGTTTAGATAGGCCTAAAATTTAACTGAGTTTTTGTTTGTATTTACACTTGTACATTCAGGGTTACATTGAATGTTCCATATTGCTTGAGTTATAAACTCAAAGTCAATATCAAAGTCAAAAGTCATCTTCAATATTGTCATCCTCAATATCACTTAAATTAGTTAAAGAAACGCATAAAAGTCATGGAGTTTGTCACATCACAGGAACGGAGACCATGGCCCATTTTTTAACAGTTCACTACGCGCAGCAATCAACAACAAAACAATTTGTTTTTATGTTTAGTTTGCTTCAAATATGTATTATCCCCCAAAAAATAGTTAAGCTCAGTATTTTTAACATTTCATTGAAGGATGTACAATGTATTGAAAGTTCTTTGAGAAAATAAATATATATTCTACTAGTTGTTTTGCCTGTGCCTCGCCACGGGGAGAGAACGCAGAGAAGATTTAGTGGTTCATCCCTGCCTCCTCCACAGCAAACTGCTGGTTTATTAAGCACTAATTCTTAATATAAATCAATTTTATCAATGTCCAAGTCACAAGGAAAAAATCCTCTACTCTTGATGCAATATAGAAATCTATGGTAGGCCTACCTTAAATGAAAAGGTTAACTCAAGGTAAAGTAAACAAACTAAATCAAAAATAAATCGAACAGCTGGTGTATCTTCAATGTTTTGCAATTAAATACAGTCCTTTAATTGATGTTCCTGCATTTGGGAGGGCTTATCAAAGTTTCACAACAAGACCTTTAAAATCAAGTATGCGAATGATAGGTTATAGGTTTGATAGGCTTATGGCTTTCTCAAAGTTCAAATCCATCCTAGCTTTATATATAGATTCTATTCCAATTCATGATTTGCAAACACACGTCATATGTTACACTTCAGTCAGAGAGAAACAACATCCTATATATTAAAACATGACAGGGTTTTTTTATTTCACGATTCTGAATCAACCACTTGACGGATTTTTATGATTTTTGTATTGAAAGAAAGATAATTTTGAGAACTAGGGAATGTCTAAGCCATAATTTTAGTTTAGGATTACAGTTTTTTAGAAATAAGTTTTAATTTTCAAAAAGTCTAGCAGCCGACGGACGATTCTAGGTAATTTTAGTGGTGGTTTAACTAACAGCTGGTTTCTAACTGTCATTGAAATGTTTATGTTAAAGTCGTTTGTATACAAAAATATTTATCGTCAGAGTTTGCCTACACACTATTTCACTTTAAAATTCAGTTTATTTCCTACCGAAAAAGAAATATGTTATCAGGAGATTGTGTAATTTTGAACTAAAAATTTTAAACGTACAATCAAGTTTTGTCATAAACGCAATCCGTCTAAGTATAAGTGCTTAATCCTTTAACATATAAGTGGTTTACGTGTTGATACATCTTTTTCTAGATGTTTGAATATAAGTATGACTGCATACAGTAGGCCTACTCATTTTATTCGTTATGAAAATGTCAACTGGTGTAGTAGGTCTCCAGAAAACTGACCAGAAAGCTGCAGGGTGTCAGTAGAAACCAAAATCTATTCATACCATATCATAATTATTCCAGTAGTACTGTATGATTCAGAAACTTAATAAAGGGTTATATTCCAAAAGTAGACCAAAAGGCTCGGATCTTGGATGGGCCGGGCAGGCTTTTAATGGCGGAGAGAAGATACTTCAACTTTTAAAAGTGTATTCCAAGGAGTACTACAAGGTAGAAGACCACTTGGAAGACCAAGTAATGAAAGACATCTTCAGACTGGTATCTTCCTTAGAAATGGCAGGGGACAGAAGGGAACGGGAGGCCAGGATCATTTTTGAGGTTTCAGTGGCCAAGGTGGTAAAATAAGGTACGGTAAATGATAGTATGCAGTGGAAGGTGGTAGCTACTGTACTCAAAGCCAGTGTGTGTGAATTGGCCACCAAGTTGTAAACTAGCTGTTCTGAATCAGATTCAGTTTTAATTGTTACTCGATTCCCGTACGTAGGACGGGCCAACAGCTCGTATAACAATAAAAATACATTGCTATACGGCCATCTCCAGTAGTCACCATGAAGCCCTGAATTAGCGGTATAAGTAAGCCGCGCATTGATCATGCATGTATAAAAATAACAAACAAAACTTAGCGCATCCAAGCTTACCAGACTTTGGGCGGGCAATACTCGTACGCATCAGTAAACCCGCCCAATTTGGGGTGGGTGACACTTAGAGGGTTAAAGGATCAACCATTTATTATATATACTCACAAAGTGTGTTTACAGCCACTGATATTATACACTATGATCAGCAAGTTATAAAGCTCATGAAATGCTCATGCAATGTACACCAAGCCTATCACGAGTTAGAAAACGTGAGTTATGAAAACACGTAAAAATGGTCAATAACTATTACCGATCGGTCAAGCAGCGGGCGACACAGAAGTAGAGTCTAGACTCACTCTACTAGTTGTTAGTTGAACATGTAATTCTTTGTGAAATGCAAAGGCATGCTATTTTGCTATAACATGGTGTCTACTAAACCTGGTTTAAAAAATTCAAGGAGTTTTCCAGGAGAATTCAAGACAAATTCCTGAATTTTAAGAACTACTATCGGAACCCGTTAAACTAATCGCAACCCGCTAGTAATAATTTATTATTACTATTAATGATTATTTTAATTTAAAACAAAACTATTCCAAAGAAAAATATTTTATACAACATAATAAAACAGTATAACTAATAGGTAAGGCGACACAAGCTATCATCTCCTGCGATCGTGGGAATACCGGTGAGCATATCTTGCAGTCTCGTCAACACAGGCAACCGATCGCGGCAAAACAGGTTCGCATATTTTATTATTTCAGCGACACAGATAATCGTCTCCCACGTTCGCAGAAATACCCAAGAGCATATCCTGCGGTTTCGGCAACACCGATTATCGTCTCCCGCGATCGCGGCAAGACCCGTGAGCATATCCTGCGGTTTCGGCAACACCGATAATCGTCTCCCGCGATCGCGGCAATACCCGTGAGCATATCCTGCGGTTTCGGCAACACCGATAATCGTCTACCGCGATCGCGGCAATACCCGTGAGCATATCCTGCGGTTTCGGCGACACCGATAATCGTCTCCCGCGATCGTGGCAATACCCGAGACCATATATCGCGGTTTCGGCAACACCGATAATCGTCTACCGCGATCGCGGCAATACCCGTGAGCATATCCTGCGGTTTCGGCGACACCGATAATCGTCACTCGCGATCGCGGCAAGACCCATGAGCATATCCTGCGGTTTCGGCGACACCAATAATCGTCTCTCGCGATCGCGGCAAGACCCGTGAGCATATCCTGCGGTTTCGGCAACACCGATAATCGTTTTCCGCGATCACGGCAATACCCGTGAGCATATCCTGCGGTTTCGGCAACACCGATAATCGTCTTCCGCGATCGCGGCAATACCCGTGAGCATATCCTGCGGTTTCGGCAACACCGATAATCGTCTCCCGCGATCGCGGCAATACCCGTGAGCATATCCTGCAATGCCCGTGAGCATATCCTGCGGTTTCGGCGACACCGATAACCGTCTCCCGCGATCGTGGCAATACCCGAGACCATATATCGCGGTTTCGGCAACACCGATAATCGTCTACCGCGATCGCGGCAATACCCGAGACCATATATCGCGGTTTCGGCAACACCGATAATCGTCTACCGCGATCGCGGCAATACCCGAGACCATATATCGCGGTTTCGGCAACACCGATAACCGTCTCCCGCGATCGTGGCAATACCCGAGACCATATATCGCGGTTTCGGCAACACCGATAATCGTCTCCCGCGATCGCGGCAATACCCGTGAGCATATCCTGCGGTTTCGGCGACACCGATAATCGTCTCTCGCGATCGCGGCAATACCCGTGAGGATATCTTGCCGTTTCGGCGACACCGATAATCGTCTCTCGCGATTGCGGCAATACCCGTGAGGATATCTTGCCGTTTCGGCGACACCGATAATCGTCTCCCCAAGGTGTCCACAAAAAATTTGTCATTAATTTCCATGACTTTCCATGACTATCCATGACCATTTACCATTGATTTCCATGACTCACGAACTTTACACGCAAATTATAATATAACACACACACACAAATAATACTGCCTGGACATGTTATTTTGCAGAAAATACTGAAATATGTAATAACAGATAACAATGAAGTACAATAGGTACAACAATAAACTAAAACAAACCGAAAACTCATAAAATAATACAACTGTAATAAATTGAATTGTCGAACATTTTTGAAAAATCCTGAAAAATGCTACAACAGTCCGGGTCACAGCTGACTAGAGCATTGAATGGTCCCCTCAAATCCACCCATAATTGGAAATTTCCATGACTTTCCATGACTTCTTGCCTATTTCCCTGACTTTCCATGACCAAAATTCTTTTCCATGACTTTCCATGACTATCCCTGACTTTCCAGAATGTGGACACCCTGCTCCCGCGATTTCGGCAACAAAAGCAATAGTGTTTGGTTAGCTGACGATTCCGATGACCGGGTTGTGGATTCCCGGAGGTTCGGGTGGATTCCTGGAGTTTTCCAGGACATTTCAAGGAAAGATAAAATTCCCGGAGTTTTCCCGGTTTTCCCGAATTTCCCGGAGAGTAGACACCATGTATAAAATGATTACATAATATGTGAGCTAATGAACTTGGAATTATTTATATTAGCTGACTTCAGAGTATTTGTGGATATTTATAGGGATGCACTGTGGATGCGATACTCCCTGGTGTGGATTAACGTCCGCACTAGTGAGTACTACGACAATCCACGGTACTATCCTGATACTTAGACCAATTCGTAAATTACAAGGAAAAAATGTGGTTCGGATTCCACTATAAACTGTAGGTCCCTTAGTTGCCATTAGCTGTATGGGCTATTAATTAACAGCTGTGTCTAAGGAACATGTCGGCCTTAGTCACTAACAAGGCTACAAGATCGCGCCACTCATCCTACACTCATCCTTCACTCATATTTGGGTTAAAATACGCACATAGTGGCGTCCCCATCTTAAATAATTGATAATTGATAATTGATATTTCAAATAAACTATGATGTGCCACTCTTTACAACCTTCACTGTCAGTCTAGTTTTGCATCATAATTAACCTAATTTTTCAGAATCAGTATTGAGTACAACAAAGCGAAGTATCGGCGATTCTTTGATAGCGCTGGTATCGAAGGTATCGGTGTATCAAGAATCAGAACATTTTTCAAGGTTTGAACAAAGTGAAATTGTTCAAGACCAGCAAGAGAAATATACAGGATGTCTAGTTTATTTCCATTATAAAATTCAAGACTAATTCCAGACTTTTCAAGACTAATTCCAAATTTTTCAAGACTAGTTTTTCAACAATTAGTGGGTGTTAATACCAAAATGTATAGATTCTCAATTCTTGATACCGATACAAATTTTTATAGCTTCACCAAATTTTCTAAATAATACTACACCAACCCCTGTCTTTGTCATAAAGAAGTATTATGATAATGTGGTGTTTTCAAGTAAAGAAATAATGCAGCAATAAAAAATTCTTACTAGCAAATTTGGTTTTTTTTATCATGAAATCTTCCGCGTACCGTACGTTTAGACATAATCATTGACTGCAGCGGTTACAGAAACGTGATTGTCGTCGTCTGCGATCACGGCAAAATCATGAATATTTCCCGCGGCCTTGTAGACATCAATGACATCATTGTCATCTCCCGCGGTCACGGAACCGTCATCGTCGTCGTCCGCGATCGCGACAAAATCAAGAACATTTCCCGCGGCCGAGCAGATATCATTGTCGTCTCCCGCGGTCAAGGAAACATCATCGTCATCTCCCGCAGTCACGGAAACGTCATCGTCATCTCCCACGGTCACGGAAACGTCATCGACATCTCCCGCGGTCACGGAAACGTCATCGTCATCTCCCGCGGTCACGGAAATGTAATAGTCGTCGTCCGTCATCGCGACAAAATCATGAACAATTCCCGCAGCCAAGCAGATATCATCGTCGTCTCCCGAGGTCACGGAAACGTCATCGTCGTCTCCCGCGGTCACGGAAACGTCATCGTCATCTCCCGCGGTCACGGAAACGTCATCGCCGTCGTCCACTATCGCGGCAAAATCGTGAACATTTCCTGCGGCTGTTTAGACATCGCCATCATCTCTCGTGGTCACGGAAACGTTATCGTCGTCGTCCGCGATCACGGCAAAATCATGAACATTTCCCGCGCCTGTGTAGACATCATCGTCGTCTCCCTCGGTCACGGAAGCGTCATCGTCGTCTCCCGCGGTCACGGAAACGTCATCACCGTCGTCCGCGATAGCGACAAAATAATGAAAATTCCTTGCGGCCGTGTAGACATCATCATTGACTCCCACGGCCACGGAAACGTCATCGTCGTCTCCCGCGGTCACGGAAACGTCATCGTTGACTCTCGTGGTCACGGAAACGTTATCGTCGTCTCCCGGGGTCACGGTAACGTTATCGTTTTCCCCAGCGGTCACGGAAACGTAATCTTCGTCGTCCGCGATCGCGATAAAATCGTGAACAATTCCCGCGCCCGAGCAGATATCATCGTCGTCTCCCGTGGTCACGGAAACGTCATCGTCATCTCCCGCGGTCACGGAAACGTCATCGCCGTCGTCCACTATCGCGGCAAAATCGTGAACATTTCCCGAGGCCGTGTAGACATCATCATCGGCTTTCGCGGTTACGTAAACGCAAGACGACGATCGCGGAAAAATCATGAAAATTCCCGACTTTGAAATCAAATTTAAGACTAAATCCCGACTTTTCAAGACCATTTTGAAATTCAATACTAATTCCCGATTTTCCCGACTACTAGACACCCTTAATATACTTACTTTACAAACAACGACGAGCCCTTTCACTTTCTCTGACACGTTTTTCCCTGGCAACAAGCTTCGTTTCTTGTCTCCCACATGGAGGTACAGGGCGTCCACATTTGACAAACAGATGTCGTATTCTCCCAATAGTAAGTTCTCTTGACAGTACATTTCCTGTAAATTATAATATTTTAGTGGCATGGGGTCCTACCAATATCCTATAAAAAAATTATGATATGATATGGATGTTGAGACTTGATAGGACTGCAATAGGATTTAATTTAACACCCTTATGATGCTTTGATGCTTTAAAGGGCTCCAAGTGATCATGAGCCCAAAGAAAACTTGAAAAAAAGAGTTAAAATTATTCTGCTATAGACTTACCAAATCCAGCACAACTGTTGTACTTAAGTAGTAAAACTAAAAAATATTATTCTTGAAGTAAAAAAACCATAATGAGATATTTATTTGTGAACATATTAAATATTGTTATTCACTATATCAATTGTAAATTATTTAGGACTAGCTGTGTACCCGTTCTACGCACGGGGATCTTATAATATTCAGTTGAAACCTTCTTATATAACGAACAGCAGTTGGTTTGCATATTTTAAGATATGCTGGCCAAACTATTATACATAGCTTCATTTTATGTTGTTTTTTGTTGTTCCGGATCGGTATGACAATCAATAAAAGGTTAAATTACCTCTGTGTCTGCCGGTCGATCCTATAACGGTAGGCTTACTTTTATTTTTACTATCTGATCTCGTTTGCATGGCTCAATCACGTCCTGGTTGAAGTTCGTTCGCTACGCTCACTCACCTGTATGTTGGAGCTCGTTCGCTGCGCTCACTTTCCTTCAGGTTAGCTCGTTCGCTACGCTCACTTGCCTTCAGGTTAGCTCGTTCGCTACGCTCACTCGCCTCCAGGTTGCAAATTAGCTGTTGTCATAAATGTAAAAGAAATAATAGTGCTAGTGCTGCACCCTGTTGGTAATCCTTGTAACTTTAATGCTATTGAACATCACAGAACAGAACCAACTTGTTTAATTGAAACAGCTGTTAAGATTCAATAATTTCATTTCTCATAAGGTTAACATGGGCTTCCAGAAATTCCACGTCAAAAATCGACAAAAACTTGATTTTCAAGGGTTTACTGTTAAATATCTAACTGTCTCATATTCGATGAAATACGTCTAAAACCATCTCATATATGTATAGTATTTGGAAAATAAGTTTCAGGCGGGACAGTGCTATAGTTATTGAGGAGTAGTTGTAATAAAGTGCGTATTTTAGCGTTACCAAGAGAATGACAGATAGACAGACAGACAGACAGACAGACAGACAGACAGAAATTGAGATAAGGTTTGATTCGGTTTCTCTGACCTATGAAATGTAAAAATAACCAAAAAGTTCATTATTCTAAGCAATGTACAGACAAAACTCTAATTTTATTTATATAGATGGGGACGCCACTATGTGCGTATTTTAACCCAAATACGAGTGAAGGATGAGTGTACGATGAGTGGCGCAATCTTGTAGTCTTGTTAGTGACTAAGGCCGACATATTCCTTAGAACCATATTCCTTAATATAGCTGTTAATTAATAGCCCATACAGCTAATGGCAACTAAGGGACCTACAGTTTATATAGTGGAATGCGAACCACATTCTTGCCTTGGTATTAACGAATTGGTCTAATTATCAGGATATACCATATACCTAAGTATACATTAATTTATCCACTAGTAGAAGTCTTAGAGAATGTATAAATCATTCAACTTAAAAGATTACACTCGTATTACAACCTTAACAAAATCATTGTGTCTGTGTGTGTAGGACAAATTTGAAACTTGACTTGTCAAATGCACTTTAATAGTAGTAGTAAAACTTTGAATTTTATGACTAATCTTATTAATCAGGTTCAATTTAATTTAAATCTCGATAAAAACCTTACTACTGTTTAACTTACATCTTTGTCGTATTCTTCAGTAGTGACAAAAGATAGTTTGAAGTTTGTGACTATCAGCGAACCAGACTTTCCGCGCTTATGCTCTGAAACGGGTGAGAACAGAAGAACATGTGTTGCTTCTGCTATTACCATCTCTCCTGGAAAAAATATAAACATTTTAAGCAGGCCCGTTTTTGACCAAGTCAGCGCCCTAGGCACAACTAATAGTTGCGCCCCTTTGCAAAATATAACAGGGTGTCAATACCAACCGGGAAAACTAGGAAATCCTTGATTTATGCGTGAGTTTTTTTTTAACTGGGAATTATGCATGACATTTGAATTTCTACCTGGAATTTTCAATTTACCACGATCGTGCATGACAACAGAGACGTTTCCGTAACCGCGGGAGACGATAATATTTCTGCACACGGCCGCGAAGGATGATCAGAATTTTCCGTCATCTCAGAAGACGATGATGATATCTACAGAGTCACGAGGGATGATCATAATATTGTCGCGATCACTGAAGACCATGGTAATGTCCACATGACCACGGGAAATAGCAAGAATTTGGCCGCAATCGCGGAAGACAATGATTATCTCCACACGACTGCGGAATATTATTAACATTTTGCCGCAACCACGTGAGGCGATAACGATGTTTTTTCGACCGCGGGAGACGATTTTGATGGCTACAGGACTGCGGGAGATAAAATAATGATATGAGAGTGATCAGAATTTTGCCACGATCGTGCAAGACGATGAAAATGTCCACATGACTAGGGAAAAGACCAGAATTTTGCCATTCACGGATGATGATGATCTCCACATGGCCGCGGGAGATGATTAACATTTTGCCGCAATCGCGGGAGGCGATTACTATGTCCAAACGATCACGGGGGACGATATAAACATGGCTTCATGACTTAAGGCCATGTCACACCGACATCCGCCACTCCCGCCGCGGGAGTACCGCGCGCGGATGTTTTTCCTCGAGCCATGTCACACCAAAAGTTCGCGTCCGCGGCGGGAGTTTTGAGATGAGTTCATTACAATTCGTTTTACATAAGAAACTCAGCTTACCTGTTTAGTATGCCATGTAAATTTGCAGGTTTTAAGTAAAGTGTTTAAGGAGCAATTGAATGTTTATTAATTTGTTAGTGTAGGGCTACTTTAAAAAGTGAATAACTATTTTTTAAATATAATTTAGACCTTGTGTTCGAAGCATTTTAAATATGGTTTTGGATAAATTATCCACTTTCAGCTTTTGAACGTTATTTTTCGCTACACTACAAAGACTATTTACTTTTTAAATAAAAAAATATGACCATTTAAACTAATGTAATTTTTTGCTAAGCCTTCTATTGAAAGTTCAAGTTTACATTGATTGTAAAATTTTGGTTGTTGCAAATCGAAAAAGTTGATGGAACAATAAAAAAAATTTTTACGTCGGCAATATAAAAATGTTTATGGGAAACATTAAATTTTCACCGTAAACATTATTTTTGCATGGTAAACAAAAATATTTTTTCTGGTGATAAACATAATTACGAAAATAATAAAAAACAACAACGACTACATCATCAGAACAAAAGAAACATGTTAAATTTAATTTAAAACTGTATTAAACTGTATTACTTTTAAACTTTAAATAGCTTGGGAATTCGAAATGCCCATTTGCGCATGCGCTAGACAAAACTCCCGCCGCGGTAGTCTCAAAAAATCGCTCAGCAGGCGGACGTGGCGGACACTACCGCACGCCCGCGGGCGCGCGGTAGTGCGGTGTGACTTGGCACATTTGATAACATGGTGAGCGATTTTTCAAAATTCGCTCCCGCCGCGGGAGCGAGCTCGGTGTGACTTGGCCTTTACGGCCACATTAGGGGTGATCAGAATTTGCCCACGATCACGCAATACAATGATAATGTCCATATAATCACAGGAAAAAAGATAGTTTTTTGTTTCATTCGCGGTAGACGATGATAATCTCCTTACGACCGCGGAATATGTTCATATATTATTGTAGTGATATATGATCATGGAAGATGATAATTATGTCCACACAACCACGGAAAAAGTCACAATTTTGCCGCAATCACGGGTTATCACGGGTTTTGTTGCAATCACGATGTCTACACGGCCGCGAGGGATTATCAGAAGTTTACCGCGATCGCATGCAAATACAACCACCATTTTTTTTATTTTCCAATTTGTTGGCGCCCCCCCAAAAAAGCCAATTGCCTCGCGCCCTAGGCACGTGCCTACTGTGCCTATTCGGTAAATCGGCCCTGATTTTAAGGTCGAAATATCAACACTTCAAGTGAGCTTAGGATTGATTAGTTAGGCTATTCAAAGCTTACAGAGACTTATACTTTGGCAGATCTGCTGAGGCGTTGCCGCAACGCAGCCTAAAAGGGAGTTCGCCACAACAGGCTAGCCTGACAACAGTTGTCTTGCGGTAACCCTGTTATTAATCCTGTTATGTTATATAAGAATTCCTTGTAATAACAAATTTTGTCTTCAGACCCATAAGTTTCATTTAGAGGCTAATGAAACTAATGGGTCTGAAGACCAAATTTGTTATTGCAAAAAAGTTATAGGTTAATAGGTAGGCTATAAGGTTATTCGCTACTTACCTGGTAAACATCGAGGGGAGAGCTGTTCAGAAAATGACTCTTCAGCACTATTGTTTAAGGGCTGAAAAATAATATATTTTAGCAAACATCATAAGATTGCAAAAAAGTGGTCTATTGATTTTCTATGCATATATATGGGTGTCCGTTAGCATGATAACTCGAACAAAAATGATCCAATATTGATGAAACTTGGTATAAATGTGTAAAACTACTTTTATTCGAGCGAGTTTGCGAACCAGCATGATCGGACCATGGGAACAGGGGTTTTATCGGGTAAAAATGGGTTTTCTAATTTTTTACCCTAAAAACATAAAATTTAGCAATTTCTTTCCCAACCATTTTGTAGAGCTTAAAAAAATAAATAATTTAGTATATTGAAGCATTGTTGTATGCCTAATGGTTACGGAGAAAACAAAAAAAAGTAAATTAAAAATTTCTATGTTATTCTTATGGAGAAAATGAAAACTGTTGTTTATGGATATAATGTTGATAAAATTTGGCAAATTTATTTATTTCATCCTATACTATTGACGTTTTGGTCAAAAAACACTGTTTACCTTCCCCGTAGCAGCAAACCTAAGCACATGTTGTATCTAATGTTATTTTAATTGGGAATAAAGATGTATTTTTTATGAAAATATTTTAGTATAAATGTAATCGGACAAGTTGAAGTTCACTTAGTCTGTAGGTTTGCTGCGGCAGGGTATTGCTTATTATTAATCAAATAACTTCTTGATCAGCATTGTACGTGTTATTAAATTTACGGAAAGTAAATAATTGTCCCCCCCCCCCCCCCCAGCAAACCTGCAGACTTAGTGAATTTCCATTTGCCTGATTGGATTTACACTAATGTCTCCTTAAAAATACATCACATTTATTCTCTATTAAAAAAAAATTAGTTTAACAAGTACTTAGGTTTGCTGCAACAGGCAGGGTGAAAAAGTGTTTTTTGTTGTAAAATGTTAATACTGTAGTTTAGTAAGAAATTAATGTATTTTCCAAATTTGATAAAAAATGTTCATAAACAAGCAAACTACAACAGTTGACTTATTCTCCATAAGAATAACTTGGGAATTTTAAATTTACAAATTTTGGAATTTTCTCCATAACCATTAGGCGCATAATAAACCTCCGTTCCCATACTCGTTTGAATAAATGTAAGTTTGCACGTTTATACCAAACTTCATCAAAATCGGATAATTTTCGCTCGAGTTAAGGTGCTAACGGACACACACACACACACACACACACATATATATATAGCCTATATATGAATTTGAACGGTTGGTGTTTTTGGCCTCTAGGGACCTCAAAACGAAAAAGTAAATCGGTCCCGTGTCCAGGTCTTACCATGAGTACTACGGTAATAGCTTATTCCCTATATGAGAAATTTGATAAAAGAAAGGTCTTATAAGACTTAAAACATATATTTACGCTTATACTGTTACTCACAAGATGGTAAATATACATAAAAGATGGTAAGTGGTGATCGATTTTGATTGGACACTCCATTCATCATCAGACCCAATAGGCGAATGACATCAAATCATCACATATTATTAATGAAATCAACACTTTAATTGTTTGATAATCCAATTGAGAGGGATATCAAAGTTTTGCCGACTCATGGCCTTTTTTTAATCACCCAATTAAGACAACGACTACTCATTTTGTTTAGATTAAGTTAGGAAAATTCTTACATGTTAAGAAATAGCTGTTACAATTTTTTTATGAGCCTTTTAATAACGCTAAGACAAACACTGTTCTTTTTAAGGTAGAACTTTGAACTTAAGTATTTAGCGTAAGTTACAAGTTTCCTGTACATACATATGATGTCTGCGTCTGTAGTCCTTAGCCATAAGGAATTGGACAGGTCAGGGTTATAACAAAGAATAACCCAACTTGAACTAGTTTTTGTCAGAGCTGTGACTGTCTATGTCATGGAAGCTTGACTCCACTAACTTAGATATATTTCTCAATTTTAATTTGAATTTATTAAAGCTCTGAATTTTAAGTAATTTTTTCGGTAAGGAATGGTCAAATTTCATAAGTTACAATGTTCACAATTTTTAGGTTCATGTTCAAATGCGGTGAGTTTGTGTTGGACTGCATGTGTAACCTTTTTTCGGGTGTTGTAAGTGTGATTTGTAAAAGTTGGTTTGATGTTCTGTGATTTTATGTAGCAAACTGATTCTAAGATAAAAAGTGAAGGGACTGTGGGAAAGCCAAGTTCTTTGAAAACATTTCTGCAGCTGGTCCGAGGAGGCATGCCCAAAATTTCTCTAGGCAACTGCCTTTTTTATTCTGCCAAACAAGGATCTGTTCAATGTTTTTTTTTACAGTGCCCCAAAACCAAAAGATAATTGAATACAAAATGTGCTATTCTATTAGGCCAAAATAACAAGTTTTGAAGGGGTCCGGTTTCCAAAGGTCCTTCTCGAGTCAATGACCCTTCCATTTTTTTTATTTGGGCATCCCAACTCAAATCATCATCCAATCTCATTCCCAAAAAGTCAGCATTTTTGAAATTTGGATTTGATCCTCTCCAACAAATAGGTTTGATGTCCTATTATTTTTTTGAAATAAGGTTTTTGCAGTTTGGATACCACACATGTATCCTGGTTTGTGAATTTAAAATTTGAGTTTGTTTGAAAAGAAAAAGTCAGCTAAATTGTTTGCTCTTTAATTAGATTCTGCTTCCAGGGCAGCACTGTCAGTTCCCTTTACGAACAATGTTGCGTCTTCAATACTTTAAATTGAAATGGCGACCATAAGTTATGAAAGTAGGTATTTTAAGTCAAGTATGAATGGAGATCAGCGTAGGATACACACAAAGAGTACGTTGCTCTCCGCATTGCAAGTCTCCGCACGTTGCAAGCATTTTTGAAATCGTTTAACCAACTATTCCAAAAGATAAAAAACAATATGGTGCAACACAAATAAACGACCTGATTACCTATAACCTACACTTTACCTTCCTAATCTAACCTTACTTCAAAACACTTAATGGAGCCACGAATTCTCATAAACCACGACCTGCCTTCCCCACACGCCTAAATTAGATCAGTGTTCAATCTGCAATTCAACATATAACCTATGAGTTATTATCGGATTAAATATCGATTTTGATGTGGTTTGATATATCGCTTATTAAGTTAAATCCTTATTTCTAATCAGCTGGCAAAACAAATTAGGTACCCAAGAGTGAGTAGTCACCATGCAATATGCTCCGCGCATTGAGAAAATAGTTCCGTATATTTTTGCAATTTGCAGTAAATTCCGCGCCTTAAAAAAATGTTTTAAAGGTATTTTCTTGTTTATTAAGATCGTAGGAATAGTTTCAAAATGTTTCAAGAAAAAAAAAAGGCCAGAAAGTTCAGAAATTGCCTAACTTTAGGCCTAATTAGATATATCGTTCGGTTAGTTAGGTTAGGTTAACCTTACCTAACCAACCTAACGATATATTGAATAATCGATATATCGATCGATACTTTCATTCGGTTGCATGTGTGATAAGATATGGAAGTGTACCCCAACAGTTTCATTACATACCTAATAGATAAATTTTAAAATATTGATTATTAATCTATAATTTCAATTTGATTGCTTCAATCGATATTAGCATAGCCCAGTTAAGGAACTTACCCAATAGTTCTAAAGTATTCGATGCTAAAGTATTCAATGATTTTGTAGGCTGGCTATGTAGAAATGAGATGGCAAGGTAAGTACGGCAATATAAATTGTGTTACATTCGTGTTAGCCATGCCAATCCTAAAAATTTTAGAAGCTATAAGACTAGCCTAGTTCAATGTCTAATGAGATAAAGCAATGACCATTTACCTCATCATCAAATCCAACATAGCTTTTGAAACTGTTTGTCAGCCTTTTGTCAGACATTTTACTAAAAAACATCAATTAACGATATTATTAAAATGAGTCAAGGCAAACTTATAAGGTAAATATAAATTGCTTGATAATATTGGTGTCTTCCAAACATACATAACCTTTGTGTGTTGGTCAACTTGTATAGGCAACTGTCACTGGTCACTGTCACTGTCAGCGAGTTGTCTGACATACAGAAGACAAGAAGAAGAAAGAACCAGACAGAACAGAAGAGAAGACTGCTGCTGTAAGCTGCTAAAAAGCTGCTAGTCTCACGGCCGCCGTTGTATTGTACATTGGGACTCATTGTCGACTTTCAGGATATGAATGAACATTAGACAATCCTAAGTTCTTTGAACAAACAAGAAATCCAGATTGTTTCTTCTGAACCATGATTAGCTACAATGATTTCAGCTCCACAATAAGTTGAGTCCACAACTAACGACGACTAAGCCAAGCCATAGCTGCACCGCTGCACCCGCATATCTATATATAAAGCTCAAAGTACCCATGAACTTTTGAGAAAACTACAAGTCACACCCCCATAAACCATATACTTAAAATGTTCGTCATGACGAGAAACCTTGCCCTTTAAGGTCATAATTGCTTTCCAAAGGGAACTTTCCATATCCTTAATGTTAAAAATACCTCAGCTGTTCTTATTTGTACGTTATTCTTTCAATTTATTACCTTACTAGCTGGCCCGACAGACGTCGTCCTGTCCTAATGTGGTTTTATGTCAAATGCTCGTTCATTTTCAAGATGAGATCGTTCGCATGGCTCAATCACGTCCTGGTTGAAGTTCGTTCGATACGCTCACTCACCTTTAGGTTGGAGCCCGTTCGCTGCGCTCACTTGCCTTCAAGTTAGCTCGTTCGCTACGCTAACTCACAGGGGCCCATTTCATAATAAAGTACAAACTAATATTATTAGTAAATCAGCTGATCGCCCAATGCAAATCTAATGGAAATTACAAGTTACAAGTTGTAACTTGTAACTTGTAGTTTAATTTTGAAATGGGCCCCAGGTTGAAGTTCGTTCGCTACGCTCACTCACCTTTTGGTTGCAAATTTAGTTGTTGTCAAAAATTAAAAAAAAATAATGGTGCTGCACCCTGTTGGGTAAACCTATTCACTTTTTAATGCTATTGAACATCACAGAATCAAATTGTTTAGTTGAACCAGCTTTTAAGATTCTTTATTTCAATTTAAATATGAGTACTCATAAGGTTAACATGGGAAACTCCAGAGCCACTGGGGCGGAGCTCTTTTGACGGATCTGCACCAAACTTAACACAAATTATCCTTGAATGCTTAGTAATGCCTGAAAGTTTCATTACAATCTGTCAAGCGGTTTCGGAGTCCATAAAGGACAAACAAACAAACATACATTGGATTATAGATTAAAATCTAGTGTGTTGTTTGTAATGCTGCATTCTTTTTTGTTTATTTCAGCTTAACTTGACCAATCAATAGTTTTATTAATACTTATGAAGTCAAACGGCTTGAAGCGAGTACCACGGGCAACATAAATTAGAGCTCCAAACTTACGATCGGTAAGGAAAATCTGAGGCTCATTTCCCTAGTATTTGAGCAGTTAGCTTCTCTACAGGAGTAGGTAACATAGATAAAACATACTAGAGGATTATGTTTTATCTATCTATGGTACTAACTTGCATCCTTACGTGTTGAATGATCTTGACGCTAATTGACAGATTAAGTTATCACTTTGAGTTATTTCGAGTCCGATAAAGTAAGATACTTCTTTAGCAACAATTTCAAATTAATTGTGAACGAAGTTGGCCGATAAAAGTCCATTTCATTATGACTAGTCACTGCAATAATAATCCGTCATCAACATAGAATGCAACAATGATTTTTACGGCTGGTTATGTCGTAAGATGTATACGCAGGGACTTAACATCTTAACGGCTCTGTCGAAAGTCACCAAACCGTTATTTATTCCAGCATCGAGGTGCCTGTTTCGTTGAGCCTTTGATTATTTTCTGGAATGCTCAAGAGATCCAGGAGCTGCTGAACAACTTGATTTAAAACGTTTTAGTACTCAAACTGTAATTTAACACCTGCTAACAGCTGCTGAACACTGAACGAACAGTCAGTTTGTAAACAAGAGCAAGAGACTAAAATATGGTTTATAAAAGTGAATTTTAAAATAGGCTACTTCCATCGATAATTGATTGAAGATTGTTGCTTAATCAGTTTTGTTTGAGCCATATAAAAATGTGAAATTTTCCCACGGGCCCACCTTCACCTCGTATGCCGTCAATAGTTGATGTTATTATGTATAAGCCTACCGTGATCATAACCTCATGGTCGTAGTATGCTCAAATTTAAAAAAATCAATCAAAAACAATAACCATAGACTAAGTACACTCTGTTGATTTTTTAAACCCATATTGTAATAATTACATACTGACTAACTTAGTATGATAGTAATAATCTTTTCTATGATGTATTTTTTGCAGGTTTGTTGGCAAACTTGTCTACTGTGTCTCTTGCTTCTCGCGCGTCCAAGCCGTTGTGCTTAGAAATTTTGGTAAGTCGTATTTTCAGCATTATTTAATTAATATTACTAAAAATTTTACGAAATTTTCCAAATTTTTTCTACAGTTACTATATTTTTTAAAGTTGCTTAGAAAAAATTGGGAATTTTCTTCCGCTTCTATTAAGATAGCTCTAAATTAAAAACTTCAAGCTAGGGTTGCTGTTGGGCTTGGTGGCGTCCATTGGTGATGGCGGTTGTAATATTGGTGTACCGGTCCCTGATATTGATTGAGTTTATTGTGGATTCATCGGATAAAAATCAACCAGATTTTGTTTACCGGTTGCGTTTATTTATTTGAAACCGCTCGACTATTAATAATCGTCGAAAATCACCTAAAAATGTATTAATGATTTTAATTAAAATACAAGATGGCTATCCAGTCCCCTGAGGACTCTTCGTGTTAGGTGAATATATGATAAAATTTTCTCTAAGTTATTTACGCGTTAATACTTGTTTCCGATGGAATATTTCATTTAATTTTTTTTTATTGTAAAAAATTAAGACTGTTACGGCTTGTATCTCCTAATTTGTTGCAATAAGTTTAGCTTACTTCACTAATACATTTATTCCAAATTTCAATTGGACCACTGCCCAACCGTCAGTGAAGCTAAAGAAAGATGCCGCCGCCAACAGGCCGAGGCCAGGCCTAGCCTAGACACAGTAGGAGTTGAACACTGTATACTTACCATGTCTATCCCTGGAGAGTGGAAACGCCCTCCATCTTTATGTAATGATCAATAAAGTTAATTTTATGTTAAGGAACTTATTTGAGAAATTAAGGCTGACCTAACTTAACTTACTTAAGTTATAATTAGAATTTATTCTAAAGGAGTAGGAGACCTGAGACTAAGTTAGGCTTTGCCAAGTTTAGTGGTGGGAATCACAGAATGAAAATAACCGAATCAATCAGTTATTGATGCTGAATAGACTAATTCGGTTAGCCTATTTATCCTCGTTCGGTTAAATTAACTTAGTCGGTAATTATTCTTGTTTATTAATTGTAATGTTGAATGTTGTATATTATTACAGTGATATCTTGAGAAATATTCATCTGCGGTGAAAAATAATGGTAACTTGTATTTGGATTCAGGAGGTAAAGAACTTTAAAGGGTAAGGTATCAAAATTTAAAATTTGTTTGGAGGCATCTATACGGAATAAATACCAATTAAGTAAGTTAGTCTTACCGAGAGATTCTGTGATTTAGTTAACTTATTTAAGTTATTTGATTTAGTTTGTCACATCATCAGGTAACTTATCTTAACTAAAATTTATTCGGCGATTCGTTCGACTAAAAATCACCGATTGACGCTAAATGTATTAAAGACTACATAAATGTCATTCTGTTTCCCATGAGATAAAAATGAAAGTTTGGTTTGTGACAGTGAATAATGACTAAAATTGATTCGGTGATTCATTCAACTAAAAATAACTTAACCGATTGACGCAAAAAATAACTGATTGATTATTCGGTCATGGAAACCATTCGCAGGGTGTCCACATTCTGGAAAGTCAGGGATAGTCATGGAAATAGGCTAGGCAAAAAGTCATGGAAATCTCCAATGATGATGGATTTGAGGGGACTTTTCAATGCTCTAGTCAGCCGTAACCCCGACTATTGTAGCATTTTTCACAAATATACGACAAATAAATTTATCACAGTTGTGTTAGTTTATGAGTTTTGGGTTTGTATTAAGTAGTTCATTGTTGTAGCCTACTTATTGTACTCCATTGTTATCTGTTAATACATACAAGTGTGCATGTTGCTCGAATTTGAGCAATAGCAAAGTATTACAGGAGTTATTTCAAAGGGAATAACAGTCATAACTTATTTACAATGAGTTTGAAAGAGTCAACTCAAAGATTACCAGTGTGTAACTCAGACCATGTTTATCTTCTTTATTGATAAACCTAAAGCATTCCGGCCGGTTTTCTTCTTCTCAAAATGCCTCGCTGAACATGCAACACAGGTCATTGATGATAGAGGGCCAATTGAGAACGAAAAGTCGTTAGGTAGTTGAAAGATCCTAAAAAGTACCGGTTTTTAAGAAACTCTGCACTAACACCGAAGTTTAAAAATTAGCCTAGTTGTAAACAAACCACTGAGCCAATCTTTCTGAAATTTTTATGGCTTATTGGTAGGTTTATTGTTAACATTTCCATGCATTTTAAAATTTTTACTCAATAGTTTTTATGCTGCTGTTAATTTTTAAAACGTATGCCGTAAAACGTACTAACTTATTATAATTTACTGGGCTAGCAGTTACCCGGCAGCAAAAACTATTATTTTAAATGGTAGGCCTAATTTGTTCTTTACGATAAATAATAAATATGTAACTTATAGGCCTACTGTACCAAAAAAAAAAAAAAAAATGGAATATTTATTTTACTTTTTGCCAGTGGATCAACAACGTTTTTTGTTTTTCCATTAGGTGTAGGCCTATAAATATATAAGTTTTAAGGCGTAGGTACCACCACTTGAGCATGCAACACAGCTGTCTGTGTGAAAAGCTTGCATTTTCTAAATTTTAACCTGCGATAGTCAGGAATTTCCCTTGTGCTTTATATTAGCGACTTGCGAAAGCACGACGTAAAGTTTTCTCCTTTAAACTTAGCACTGATAATTGTTGCTTCGATAAAGTTTGGCGTATGGTAATTTTTAAACTCGTAATTCTGGTTTTGTGGCACAGCTTGGGTGGATTTAAGTTTCACATTAGTAGCCTATTATTGGAGTTCCTTATTTTAATGACAGTAATGGCGTGGGTTGATGACAAATTAGGAGGCATTTAATACCTGAGATAGCACGGACGGTTATTATTCACTTAATAATTTATGTTAGATTGTGTGGGTATAGAACAAAAGATAAAAATATTTATGCATTGCCATCCCTTTTATTGTTAATAGGCCTAATACATTGATAAATGTTTATAGGCCTAATACAATGAAAGGTTTTTAACCTTATTCTTGTTTACATATTTAATAGTGGAGAATTAAATCGTTGTTGAGTGTACAGGTGTGCTGCGATTGGGGTTTAATATATTTGGACTTATCCAAAAGTAAAATAGTTTTCTGTGCTGCATTCTGTGTAAACAGTGTGGCACTATTTCAAATCATGACCAATACTGAATGTTGTGATTATTCAAACATACAAAACAGTTGGTGAAAGTAAACATCTGCTTTTAAATTATATTTATTTGTAAACATTGTAGTTTCAAAAGTCTGACATTGGACCCCTTAAACCCCTCTGGGGCGGAGCCCTTTTGACGGATCTGCACCAAACTTCACACAAACCATCCCTGAATAATGCTTAACAAGAGGTTACCTACCCGCGAATTCACGGGTGTACAGAAGCCACCATTAAATTTATTTAATCAACTTTGACTTTATATTTTATGTAAAGGGCCCAAGTTTGAGAAGTTGTCATCTGAAAGGATGTTAAAATCAGTGGAACCTTCATTCATACCTTACGTCCTGAGGTGGCCGAGGTGGGTACGGTTGTACCTGAACTCGCAGCTCTCTTTGACGATGTATTTAATACTTTTCAATGAAATGGTGACCCCTAAAAGATCGTTGACAACCTCTTCGAACGAACAACATACATGGTTTGGTAATCTCATATTCATCGTGTTTCGAACACCTTTAATGACTCACTTGTATCAAACAGCTAGAAATAGCTTCACTGTACATTCACCGCACCTCTCTAAGAACATAAGAGTAAATAATAAAATAAGTAAACAAAAATGTAAACAAACTATATTGTCAATTGCATTGGCCAGCTGTTGTTCATTAAATTAATCGAATAACGTTAACTTCCAAAACATGCAAGGCTTAGCCCTTTGGGAATCAGCCTGTGGGGCAAAGCCCTTAGAAAGTTTGTCCATATTAATACTTTTCGGCAACTCTACACACTCTAAGCTTCATTTTGATGAAGCCTTAAAGGGCAATGCGCAAGGTTTCTCGTCATGACAAACATTTTAAGTAGGTATATGGTTTATGGAGGTATGACTTGTAGTTTTCTCAAAAGTTTATGGGTACTTTGGGCTTTATACATGGATAGATTAATAGAGTAATTATGCAAGAAAAACTCTATTAACAGTCTCAAACCCATTAATATTTTATCACGACAATCAAGTGTCAAGTCAAGTAGGCTACTTTTCAAGAACTGTTGACTCGGTAGCTTATCTAAAAAGTTGTATCACTGTTATTCCTTTAGCCTACTAACTTCTTTATTTATTACTAGGGCAGTTTTCATTAGATCCCAAACCTATTTTATCATGGAAAGAATAATCCTTAACAACGTTGTCACAGTTTTACAAAATGTAATCGGATTATTTACTTACAATCCGACTACTTCCCTAGCTCAGATGGTATCTCTGTTAAGGTACAACAGATACACTAGACTGGCGACGAGATATAAATGGATTTTATTGTGAAATGCGTGGTTTTACGGACAATATAAGTGTTCAATTGCTCCGCTAACCTAGGCCTAACACGTGGTAGATTTGGAAACCGTGGGACGGTTCTTCAAGAAGAAAGTAAACTTTAATGTCTATATATAATACGTGAAGGCGATTTCTATGAAACACTACTCCGTTAATAATGGACGGATTTTTACAAACGATGTGTCAAAATTAAGTATTTTTTCTGTAGGCCCCCTTTCACCAATTCCTGTAATAAAAGTCTTTGGGCTTTGCCTCACAGGCCGTCAAAAAACCAAATGTATTTCTTATGAAAAAGTTTTTGTTTACTTAAATAGACGAATAACATTACAGCTGTTCATAGTAAACACATTATACATACATACCAGAGCGTTCGTTTTCAGAGTGAGTTCGTTTTCAGATTTGATAACTGGTGTGGAGTGATTGATTACATCTTTGAGTTGACTCTTAAGTCAAGTCTTTTTTGTAACCGGAAAATATGAATGTTTTTTAATTCATTTTGAAATAACGCCTGTAATACTTTGCAATTGCTCGAATTCGAGCAACAGGTGCACTAGTAGTTTTATAATGGCTGTTAAATTTAACTTCTTACTTGTACTTCATCTTGAAGATTCCATTTGCCACTGGCCATTGCCTACTGCCATAAAACTGTTTATGGTTTCATATTAAACTTGTAACTAATCTTCATTCTTATTTTGTAAGTTAAACCCTTTTTTATGGATATTTTATCTTTCAAAATTGACAAAACCACAAGTATTGTTGTTTGCATTATTTTTTATCATTACACAAGTCTACTTGGTCTCAAATTGAATAGCAGTGACTTTGCTGCTATTATAACTCCATTGTTTGTTACTCAGTTTAGGCCCTCCTAAATAATTAGGTTTAGGCCTGGGTATTTTGATTCTTTGAAAGAGCTTCCAAATATTCTAAAACAATGTAGGTAATTGAGCCTAAGATAAACTATCGATTGCTACAGGCTTAACTTATGTCGATGTTAACTTTGCAAATGAAAAGAAAATAATTTTACTCTGTGCTTACTTGTAGCCGCTTACCATACTAATTTTGTACCAAGAACCGCTCGTTACAATATACGCATTAGAGATTTTTATTTTAGTAGTGGAGAACTGCCAAAAATTAATCTTTCTAGATTGGATATGATCTGATAATGTTTACATGACGGATGGAGATATTCAGGATTTTGTTGCTATCGCGGAAGACGATGTGTGTGTATGTTTCTCTGTTAACTATAAAGCTTTATACTTAAAGTATATTTTTTTTTACTTTCAATAAATATCCATTTTGTAATTTAACTCTTGTCTATTATTATTTACTTTTCTCTCTGGTACAACGTACAACTACACAGTGAAGAATAAAATTAATAGGCCTACAGTTTGACAAATCAGAAAAATATATTTGGTAATCGTTACGACAAAGTGTCCTTAAATGTACGGGAATGGTCCATGAATTTGTTTATCCAGAATGTAGTAGACACCCTGGTCATGGAAACAAGAATAAGTTTAAGGTTCAGGGAAAGTTTTTGAAAACTAAGTTATGTCAGGGAATTTGATTAAAAGCTTAAGTTATGTAGGTTGCGTTAATTTTTTGGATGATTTGTTATGTTGAAATGTGATAGAGTATTTGCTGAGAGATTATTTAAGTTTACAAAAATGTATAAACTTAGTCTTTGTTATTTTTATCACCAACTTTTCATTTGGCTAAGAGCGGTTTAACTTAAGTAGGCCTATTATTAGCAAACCTGCAAACTAAGTGGATTTCCATTTGCCTGATTTGATTTTAATTTAAATATTATAAGTTATAGGTTAACGAGTAAGTTACCTAGATTTGCTGCTAGAGAATAGGTTATTAAAGTGTGTTTTTTAGTTAAGTGTTAGCTTAGTATGGATTAAATAAATTAGACTAAGGTTAATCACAATAAGTTCCATAGAATAAACAAGCAAACAAACTGCAATTTACTATTTTTTTTTATTTACAAGTTGAGAAGTTTTTAATTTACAATATTTTGAAATCTTTCCTTAGGTTTAACCAATAACCGTACAAAACAAACTCCATTAAACTAAATTATTGAATTTTAAACCCTTAGGCTGCCAGGTAGTTTTGTTTTTTTCCATCGCGAAATTGCCAAGTGAATATAGCAGTGTTGATCCAAGGCGTATGAAAGAAGGTGTGTGCATAGTGACGTCACGTGCGAGCTGAACGTGTTTTATTTTACCAAATCATATGTTTTCTTGTAATTTCCCAAAGACTTTTGAATGACAATCATTACGAATTAGCATTGAATATATAACACTATATTTAGTTTTGTTTTATGTATCCAATATAGCGTTGTATTCAACATTATATATACTGTAGTAGTGTTATACAATATTGCAGTAGTCTAGGACATTTGATAGTAAGTACCATTTAATCGAAAAACAGTAAAGCAGTAAATCATACGAATACTTTGATACTTGATACCCTTGCTCAAATTCATCCGTGGGATCGCCCTAACTCACGATTTTTTTAGGTAACCATTTATAGTTTTTACTATTGTAGTACCTTTTTTGCAGCTCTTACATTTTATGTTTGATATCATATCGTTATCGTTTAATGCACACACCTTCTTTCATACGCCTTGGTGTTGGTCACCCTGCTGCCAGCACTATTTATCATATTGCCACTGTGTGTACTGCCAGACAAAAACATGTGATCTTACAAAGTTATTTTTGAAATGTCATAACTGCCCTTGTAAATATGATAAAATCCCAATTTTTGTTTTAGTTTTGTAGAAGAATGTTTTAATGTTTTATAATTAAGAAATGCCAATTAAGTTACAGTGTAACTAACTTTATCTATAGTAATTTCTCACCTAATAATATTTATAGGCCTAAATGAATACGTTGTTAATACAATATGTTTAAATTAGTTGCAGCCTAAAAAACACAGTTAAGCAAGATGTCTGACGACGGTGCAGCAGTTAAGAAGGGTCGTGGCCGCCCCAAGGCTACCACCGAAGAGAAGGAGGCAAAGAAGAGACCGGCAGCAGACAAGTCTCCTGCCAAAGCATCACCCAAAAAGGACGATGGTGAGGTTCCGGCCAAGAGAGGAAGGGGAAGACCAAAGGGAGCTGGCAAGAAGGCTGCGGCTGCTAAACCCAAGGTGTGTTGTGAATCAAGTAACTTTTTACCCCCAAAGCAAGTTTTAAAACTTTCAGCATACAACATGGAAAAATCCAAAAAAAATTTGGCAGCCTGGGCTTTCTGCAGCCCTTGCTGTCACTCTCCGACAATGTCGGCCATGGTTCTGCTTTAAGGCTTTTTATTGCTTTGTAATATAATTAACTTTCCCGAGATAAAAAGATACAGAAATATATCACATGTCCCTAGAGGCCAAGAATGTGTAAACCACTGAAATTAAATTCTTCAATAATTGTGGTCCATCTATACAAATCGATACATTTTTTTAAAACCAATTACAAAAGCCTAACTGAAAATATTCAGACTATTGGGTATACATATATATAAACAAAAGTGTATTGAAAAAAAAAATACCTGCCAATATTTGCTTTTTCATTTGTGTAGGCTTTGGTGTTGGTGTCAGAATTCTTTTCTATTCTTTTTCTTTTAGTTCCTAACTTGTGAGATGAAATTCAGTGTCTGACAGTCTATCCTTGCTATGAATTTCAATACGAGATGCTATTGACACCTTGGAAAATTCATGATTTTTGAACCAACTTGTAATAGGTTTAGTTTATTGTGTGTCAGGTAACTTATCGATACCAAAAGATTTTATTTGCGATGTATTAGTTATTATGATTTTTTTTTTTTATTTCAGGCAAAAGGCACTGGAAAGGGACGTGGAAGGCCGAAAAAGGAAAAAGAAGAAAAATCTGAAGAGGAGGAAGAAGACGAAGTTGATGAAGAAGAGAACGGAGAATAAAGTGTTTTCGAGAATCTCTGAACTTGACGGCCAAGTGTGTTCACTTACGGTCACGTTACTGTTAATGTGTGTTCCCATATTTATATGATAGGTGACCAATTTTATTAGCATAATTTATATTTGTAGTGTTTCTTATTTTATTTAGTGATTACAGCAGTTTTATACATTATACAATTTACAAGAACAAAGAGACGTAACTGTTTGTTTTTAGTCTTGATTCAACAAAACCCCTGTAATATGGTGTCGTGTATTGTGAATAAATGGTTCAAATGGAATGTGTGAATTTGCCCTGGTAGCGATGACGTAGTTGTGTCAACACCTCTCAATTTCTTTTATTTTTCAGTATCTACAATGTAAGTTTTCCTATCCTAAATTCTAGTCTTACTTTGTAAATGTTTGGGTTGGTTTTGTGTACTTTATGATAGTAAAACAACTGTTAGTTTTACGATTTCTTTTATAAATTGGAAGTACAAAATGCAACCTGTTGTCTAAACATTTTTCTTTTTTATATTATTGTTCCTTTATATTCTTTGGAAAAATAAATAGTTACATAATTATACCTTATTTTTCTTCTGTCCTTTGTTTTCAACTAAGGTTATAAGTTAATATTTTAGTGGCAAACAATGTATCATTTAGTGAATGAATGCCCTTTGTCAGTTCTTGTTGGCAGTTCATTTACAGTCTAGACATAACTTCATCATATTTATTTTTAAGACAATCACTATTCTTCAATGACTAGACTAGCCAAATATCTTTTTCCTACAGTAGAACAGAAAGCTGCTAATTGCTGCATATTTATAGTTTGTCGTACATCAGGATTCCAACGAAACCACACAAAACAGCGCGGTTCTATTATGCACGTAATCCGTGTACGCTTGGAAATAGGTTGGCAACACTTAATAATACTATGAGCAGCTGATTGACTATTATAACTGCGATTTAACCTGTAATTTCGTGTTTATAGTTTATGTTCTCTTTTCGGTTTTTCTGAACTTTCTGGACTTATCTTTCAAACGTTTTTAAAACATTCCTACGATCTTGATAAACAAGAAAATACCTTTAAAGCATTTTTTTTTATGTGCGAAACCACTGCAAATTACAAAAATATACGGAACTATTTTCTCAAGTCGCGGAGCACATTGCTTAGGTTAGGTTAGGAAAATTAGGTCAGGTGGGAAAATGTACGAGGGTTGAAAAGACACTATTGCCGGTGTGATGAACTATATTTTTTATGATAATACATCATTAATTAGCAATCATAGGTAACAAATAGTAGTTTACGCAACGATTGCGTAAAGTGAGTGTTGTTAAAACTTAATGTGAGCTGCATACACTACCTTTTATTCTTTTGTCGAAGGAGCCGAAACTCCCCGACAACTACCCACTACCTAGTTGCTCATACACTACCCAAAATTGTTTTTTAATATTAATACTAATAATCATTACTCAAAAACTTCCAAGGTTATGTTTTCGTTTATAACCTCTCATTACCATGCCACTGATAGTGGTTCAATCACTAATTGCACGAATCATTAACAATTAAATTGGTAAACAGCTGATTAGTTGAAGTTAAGTAAAGCATCACGATTTTACTTCTCTCTCAATCCTTGAACCTCATTGGTCCGTTACCCGTGTTGTTAAGTAAAACCAGTTTCATCTATAGTAAAACTATGCTGTTATGTAAGTAAACAATGCCGTAATGTGAAACTTTTCAATTCTGAGAACTGAACTGAAACTGCTACTTTAAAAACTGGTCGTAGGTAATAGTATATTAGTTACTAGTCCTGAAAATAAGTGTTTACTGGACGAGTGTGGTCGTTCCTGTGCGAGACGAAGTCGAGTTCGAGTACGGGATTACCATACGAGTCCAGTACACAAATTTTGGACGAATTATTATATATTTCCACCAACTAAAGGACTAAAATCACTAGTCATAACCTCTAAGAGAAGTTATGTTTTTGTTTATAACCACTCATTGCCACCTAAATACAGTATAATCAGCTGATTGGTGTCCGGTAAAACTCATTACAGTACAGTAGTACGCAATAAAACCCCATTTGAATAAGCTGGCGGCAAACAGCTGTTTTCTGGACTAAATACTTGCGTGGGAAGTTCGTCAAAATAATGTAGTGTGGCGTAAAATATTTTTCATGTAAAGATAACCTCTCAAAAAAAACAAAAAAAAAACTACTTCAAACTTGATTCCAATAGTGCTAATGCAAACAAGCAGCTGCTGTTTAGTAAGTGATTTGATAATTTTGCCTATTAGCTATGAATTGCTATCTAACTAAAACGTTGAATAAATGAATCGATAAATAATTTTGATGCAATGCGATTGCGATTGCTTACAATAGAAGTCTACAACTGTTAACGGCAGCTGACTTTTACTCCCAAGGGACTAAAATTACTTTTTACTCCATGGGGAGTAAAACAGCTACCTAGACCCCAAACGTATTTTTTAAAGGCTCCTTTTGCAGAAGTGTGATGAAAAAATGTAAATAAATCTAACACAAGTGATGGATTTTAATGCAATTTATTTAAACATTTAGCGGGGCACCATAAGCACTCTAAATTGTGGTGGAGATATGTTAATGCCAGGTAGATGTAGATTTGGATCAGGCGGAGGCTGATCACACGGCAGTAGCAAAGTGAAATGTTGCATCATTGCCGAGAATAACAGAAACAAGTTCTGTCTGGCAAATGTCTCCGCCGAGCACACCCGCTTGCCTGCCAATAACAACACATACTATACTTTGATTTATGTAAATCTAAATAATTATACAGGGTGACAATTAAGTCTTAGGATGACTTAATAACATTGAAACGAAAAGAGATATCACAACCAAATTTTGTATATCATTACTAGGTACTGGTAGTAGTAAGCTACATTTTTGTGTAACTGGTGATTGAATATCACCTATGTTGGACGGATGGGGAGTAAGTTGAAAATCTTAAAGGTAAGCATACATACATCAAATTAAAGGTCTAGTTGCAATAAAAACAATGCCGGTAACCAGACCTCAAATGGACAACCGAGTAAAAAAATGGCAGCCGTTCAAAGTTTCTTGAATTTGCCATTTTGAATATTCAAACGGCTGCCATTCTTCAGTAGTTCTTTTGAGCTCAAATTTGTGGCATGGTATTCTTCTAATAAAGACATTTAATTTGACCGGCAACACTTGAGAGATCAAAGCATGATCCAAACCATAAACCAGGAAAGTCCAAATCGTTAAACAACCCAATACAGCGAGATGCATATATATTTAATAAAAACACTTGCTAAGTTCTAGTTATAGACAAGCTCACCTAGTCCAAAAGGCAAAGACAAATCTTTCTTCTTGAGCTGTCCATTTGCATCCAGATGTCTCTCAGGGCTGAATTCAAAAGGTTTGTCCCAGATTTTGTCATCCATATTGCTGCTCCAAATATTAGCCAACATCATTGTATCCTGAAGAAAAACAATGCTTTGCATATTTGTTTATCAACCAATAATCAAATATGAGGGCAGTTTTTTAAGTAGAACCGTTTTATGTTTAGCTCCTGTTAACGCCGGAACGAGACTTGTCACCTCTTACTGGTATCATTTGTGAACAAAATTACACCATTTGCTGCTCTGTAGCAGTCGTGTACGCTTCACTGTCTGTTTTTTTTTAATTTGTAAAGTTATTGAATCCCGCCACACGCGTGAAATGGTCAGTGTTAAGTTTTTTGATTACAAGAACAATGTCCAGTGCCAGCATTCATAGCTTATGCCAGAGTACCTATACAATATGTAGAGTATGCTTATGTAGTGTATACAATAATAATGTACCATAATTTTGCCATTTTTACGATATTTAGATTTGTTTTATAAAGAGTTGGCAATATGTTTTGCATTTGTGTCCTGACTGCAATCAGGCGACTGTGACGTCATATCGTATGATTTCAATAAAGCTCCCGGATTGGCTCCAACCCATCACGCCACTTTTCCCTCCACGTTTAACCGCCGATCCAAAAGTTTCCTTGCTCTCCAGTCCTCAAGATTCCAACAAACCGTAAACATGTAGTCGGCCGGGTTTTATTTAATTCCCCAAATGGTGTTTTTATTTCAAGTCATTGCACCCCAAATGTTCCAGTTATGGCCCTGATACAATGAGTGAGGGTAGAGTGCAGTAATGGGTTATGGAGTGTAAAAAAACCTTTTCCTTTGCGGCCTTCTGGGAGAAGTCTGGGTACCCACCAAAAACACAATTCCTTTCTAAATGAACATTTTCATGGCCATTTTTAAACTCCCTAGCCCATTTCTGACTTTCCCCTCTATCATTGCCTTAGGGTCATAAACTTCATCTGGCTATGAATTTCAGCATCAGATATGTTTCTTGGTGGTCAAAAACGTATCTTCGATGTCTCATGCAGCGGTGGATTCAATAATTTAAAAGTCAGCTACAGAGCTGCGTGTCATTCTGTTCACAAATGATGCCAGTAAGCTGTGACTAGCGTCGTTTCACACGAACTATGGAGCTATACTGAAAAACGGCCCAACTTAAAGAACCTCCCTAGTACACCAACATTAACTAACTAATGATCAATACGTTTCCTGGACAGTTCTCTTCTTTGTATTTAGTCTATAAAAAAAAAAAAAAAAAAAAATAGCATGAATGCAGCGGTACTCTACCTGCACTTACCTGAAAAGCATATTCTAATGATCCTAACATAATAAATCCTAAATTTACGATTATATATTTTTTTTCTTCATTTACAATTGGTTAAAAAATCAGCACATTCAACTGAGTCCATTTAGATTTTAGAATAAAACGGGTAACAACTTAAACATTGGGATGGCGTGTCTTCTAAACATAGAATGTATAGTTCATCTGGCGTACACACCTTGGGTATGAAATGGCCGTAGAAGTAAGTGTCCTGAGTACATCTGTGAGGCAGAGCCAACGGGACGAGGGCTTCAGCTCTCATCACTTCCCTCAGCACTGCTTCTGTGTACGGCATTCTGGAATAAAAGGAAAATTAAACTAACCGGAAAAAAATATTATTTCCCATACGTATTAGCATAGCCTCCTCTAAACCAAGGCTGCGCCCAACAATGTGGAACATCGTAAGCCGACATTTCACTTGCCGATTACAAACGTGCGCAATAGCCACATGCTCTGTTCCATTACTGTTTAGTAGAGGAGATATATGGTTTAGGGTGGAACTTATTCCCACAAAAACGGAGTTTGATTTGTTTAATTCCTTGATTGTGTCTGTTTCATATACTAAAAGTCTAGAAAAATCTAACCATGCAAAATGCTTTTTTTGGACGCCATATTGGAAAAACTTGAAAATTTTAAAAATCCCCAGAAAATCATGTTTGATATCAAATTTAAGGGATTTTTAAATTAAGGAATTTAAGGAAAATTAATAATTGTGATGGAAAGGAAAATGTCTTCAAAAGGTTAAACAAATGAATACCAACAGCTTGCGATCGTCTAGATTAGGCAGCCTGGAACGGCCGATGACTCTATCAATCTCCTCTTGTATCTTGGGCTGCACCTCAGGATTCAGCAGAAGGAACTCCACAGCA